AGCCAGTAGTGGGCCCTGGCTGGTGTGGATCAGTTGGTCAGAGCATCATCCGTACACAGAAAGGTCGTGGGTTTGATTCCTGGTCAGGGCACATACTTGGGTTACCAGTTTGATCCCTAGTCAGGCCACTTATGGGACTCAACCAATTGATGTTTCTCTCTCACAAGGATCTCTCTCTCTTTCTCTCTTCCCCTCCTTCACTCCCTTTCCCTTCCCCTCTATAAAAAAAAAATAAAAAAAATCAATAAACATACCCTTGGGTGAATATTTAAAAAAACTATATATATATATATATATATATATATATATATATATATATATATATATATATATATTTTTTTTTTTTTTTTAAAGGCCAGCAGTGCTGGGAAAGCCCTGCAGAGCTGCTTCTACAGGGTCCGGCTCTAATGGAAACTTCATGAACTAAAGGCAGCAGCTCTGAGGGTAAGAGCAGACACCAGCATTCCGGGCACACGGGGCCATATTTTTCCAGGTGAATGAGTCCGAATCTAAAGCTACGAAAAGCCGAAAAGCCGGTTAAAGTAGGAATTTCCAGACTTGTGGTGCTTATCTGTTCCCGGCAGCCCCAAAGGAGGAGAGGCCACCCTTTCCTTCTGGGGACATGGCCTCCATCCTATTCAGGGAGATTTCAGTTCGGTCTTTAGAGTAGGGTGTGCCTTGGAGAAGGCTGGCTTGATTTTGAAGACAATGTTCCTCACTTATCTTTCTTCTCATTCTGTTGTTTTAGGGTGAATTTGCATACCTTTCCTCCAATTCATTATTATGAGTTTGTTTGAAGGGGGGGTCTCACTTTCCTGTTTCCAAGTTCGTGGGAAGAGTGAAAAGAACTTATTTGACGCCCATGTGCTAGTAGTATCAGTACCTCATGGATACTCTAAAATGTGAAAAGAAATTCTATTCTTATTTAATTTGTAATAAGACCGGAATATCTACTTAACCCACATGTTTTTCCCCTTCAATATTCCTTACTACTTTTTCCTCAGTCTATTTGCCAGCTACAATTCCTTGAGGAAAACGCTGATCTATGACCCAACTCCTTTAGTCTTATTGTTTCCAAATGTAGGTTATTCAAAGAATACTCTCCAGTAATAGTGGTGTTTTTTTTTTTTTTTTTAAGTTAAATGTTTGTCAACAATCAATATTTTATTGAGGTTTTTTTTTTCTTGCTTACTGATATATATATACTTTTGTTTGTATATAGTCTAGAAAAGATGATAGAAGACATGTCATCTTAATGTCTAGAAAAACCACTGTTAACTTTTTGGTAATCAACAGTTATTTGAGCCCATTTTATTCTATACTGATCAAAACTGTATCTCTAGAATAACCTAGGTGTGAAGATAAGACTAGTACATGCAACAAAATAGGAGTGTTCAATACAGAATTCATTCATGCCAAAACCGGTTTGGCTCAGTGGATAGAGCATCGGCCTGTGGACTGAAAGGTCCCAGGTTCGATTCCGGTCAAGAGCATGTACCTTGGTTATGGGCACATCCCCAGGAGGGGGTATGCAAGAGGCAGCTGATCGATGTTTCTCTTTCATCAATGTTTCTAACTCTCTGTCCCTCTCTCTTTCTCTCTGTGAAAAATCAATAAAATATATATTAAAAAAAAAAAGCATTCATTGCCTTGTGGGAATGTACAGAAACATGCTAAACCTAGAAGATTGATCCATTTAGGGACATCATCAAATAAAGGTCATCAAATATAGAACATATTATCTAAATCAGAAGAGTGACTGATACCAGCAGTAGATTCTATCTTTTTAGATGGAGGATGGGCAGTTCCTATAATTCTTTGGAGGTGGGGTTAAAAGATAAGATTTCGAGTGAGAAATGGGAATATTGTAGTTGTGACCGAATGGTTAAGCTTCTAAATAGCATTTTCCTAAGCAATTCTGTACATTTTCATGTTTGAGACCAAGACCCCCCAAAAAAGCCTAGAATTTGAAAAAAAAAAAAAAAAGAAAAGAAATAACTAAAGTGTAGTAATTTAATTGGTAAATATGATCAGCCTTTTTCTTTTTTTATTGATGAGAGAGAGAGAGAGAGAGAGAGAGAGAGAAACAGCGTTGACCAGCTGCCTCCTTCATGGCACCTACTGGGGATAGACTGGGCATGTGACCTGACTCGGAATCAAACTGTGACCTCTTGGTTCCTAGGTCAATGCTCAACACTGGGCCGCACCAGCTGGGCAAAGATACTCTTTTAAAAGGTTAATTTTACTATGGAAATTCTCAAACATATATTAAAGTAGGGAGACTAATGTCATGAATCTCCATCTACCCTTCACTCAGCCTCAGCAATTATCTATCCACTTTTATACCTCCCTTATCCCCCCTTCCTCAAAATGAATTATTTAGAAGCAAATCCCAGCTATTTTATCATTTCAAATAGAAATACTTTGGTATGTACCCCTACAAAAGTAAAATGACTAAAAGGAAGGATTCTGATGATTTACAAACCTTAGTCTTGTTTTCTCATCAGTCTTCGTGTGTCACGGGGCTTTGAGTTAGGAAATGAGTTCTAGACCTGGCTTTGCCACTCACCAGCTGGGAGACCAGCAGCAGCCACAGACCTTTCTGGACCTGAATTAAGACCATCTCTAAGGTCCCTTCTGGAGACATGGATTTGGTACAGGATCTGTTTGCTGTTTCAGTGCAGTGCCCAGTTCAGTCAAGACCTGCTCAGTCTTCATTTCCCAGAGGCTGCAGAATCTTTGACTTGCAGCTTAAGAAGGAAATGAGCCTTGAGGCATTCCTTAGAGCCATTTTGTGTGGCCATCAATACCTCACCACCTTAATTCTGACAACCTCAATTCATCTTATCCAGTGTTCTGCCGAGCTGTGATGCCGGGAAGGTTTGTGTTCCAACAGACCCTCCTCCTAAAAAGGCCACCCTGAAGCCAATAGCTACAGAAAAAGTGACATTGCTTGCCGGGAAAGGGGGGTAAGTTTCTCTCTTATGCAAGGAACTGATTGGTGTCCCGTGGCAGGGTGATTGTAAAGGCATAAAGATGCCCATTTTATAGGCAAATCAACGGAGTGTGAAATCGGGTGGGTGCATTTAAGGTTGCCTGGTAAATGAAGGATTACATTGGAAGTAGAATTTATGGAAAACGTAAATTATGGAAAACATAAATTATGGAAAACATGTGACTTATAGAGGCTGAGGTTTAGGGGAAGCTCAGTTAATGGAAGGAACTTTGGGTGAGAAGAAGGTACCCAGCCCAGAGGGGCACTGCCACTGGGACCCTCACAGCGTGTGTCGTAGCCGCTGTGGGTGTCCTCCTGTGGGCTTCACACGCCATAGTCAGAACTGGGACCATGGGAGGGGGACACGCTCTGACCCAGTTTTTGGCTGTTGCTGGTATCTGTCCTGCTCCTCTGCGATTTGAAGAAAACCAGGGAAATGAAACTGGAGGAAGGCTATTTGAAAAAAGAAGCCATTGGTTGTCAGCGTACTGGTATAAGAATGCTCACAAACGCTGCAAATTAAAAATAAATAAATAATCACAACCCAAAGAAGTAGAAAAAGAAGTGCCGCATGGAAAAAGCCTCCAGAATTGCCATTGTAGAGCACAAGCTCTAATCAGCTCTGACGTTTGGCAGGGGATTCATGGAAGCTGTTGACGGGGATTATGGTTTGGGTGCCAGGGTTTAAACTGGGGGGTAGGATTAAAAGGCACCAAAGATGAAGGCTAGTATTTCCAGCTGAAACCAATATTCCATGGAGGGGCAGTCACTGGGTTTGGGGGTTTGGGGGTTTGGGGTAGGTTACTGTGCTCAGAAGAGTGCCTTCCAGCTGGTTCTGAGGAGGATCAAAATGAACGTTCTCTGTAACCCTGTTACACACCACTCAGCGATTAGACGCCGAGGCCTGTCCTCAGCAGGAAACGGTAAAGGAATCTGCAGGAAGCCGAGGCCCAGGGAAGGGAAACCCCTCCCTCCTGTCAGAGGCCAGGCCAGAGCGAAGATGAAATGGCAAGTGGAGCTGCAGGGACAGACGCGGGGAAAGGAGCGTGGCTGGACCTCGGATGGGAGTCAGGAAAAGGCATGTGGCTCTTGTTTATTGTGTGGCTTCCACGTGGAGCCTGTGCCTGGCGTTCCTCGGTCTGGGACCCGGAAAAACGCTGTTGCCTCATCTACAGGGCCAGTGGGGGGGGGGGGGCGGCGGGGTGTGTGTTTCCCGGGTCCAGTAAGTAGCCCATGAAGGGGACAACTCCCCTTGTTTCAGATCTTCAGCCTTCTCAAGGCCAGGCGACCCAAAACTCAAGTTGAAAAATATTACCGGGTGAAAATGCCATCCAATTGTAAGGAATACTCAGGGTGAAGGAGCAGAGGAAGGCAAAAGCATTCTATTGCCCCCAGTTCTTTATAACAGAAAATACTCTATTCTTGAGGTTGAGGGAGAGCCTGTGATCCAAAGGGGGAAACTGAGTCCAAGAAGGAGGAACCGGTTATCTGAAATCTGACATTTTCTTGTAGTTGAGAACTCAGCTTTGAAGTTTCAGTTCTTGAGCTGGGCTCAGTGAGTTATGCTACTCCTGAAAAAAAAAAGAAAAGAAAATTAAGAATATTTTAGGTGGAAGGTGCTCAGGGATTTAAAACACACACAAAAAAACCCCCAAAAACACGCAGTACCTAGCTTCCTTATCTCATCAACAGCGCCCTGGACTCCATGCTACCAATTTTGTGTTAAATTGTTACTTAAAGAAAGAGAAAAACAAACTCTACTTAATGCTGATTCTACTGGTTTAGTGGAAAAAATTTTCTAACAGGCAAGTGCCAAACAACAAAGCTTTTGAAAACCCAGACCTGGGAGAGAAATGCTGTTTCATAATGGGTATGAATAGCTATTTGGCTGTCTTTTTTTTTTTTTTTTAATCTTTCTGGTTTTTTGATGTGGATCTCCTTCTATTCGCTCAGGAAGTTATGACGTGAGCTCTGGGCAGGGTCTGCGGTCGTAGAGCCCTGTCTAAAAGGGACAGAGAGCACCTTCTGCATTTCCTCACTGTGGGGCTGACGTGCAAGCGGCAGATCTTTGGAAGGCTGGTCACGATGCAGGTGCTTCTCCGGTGCAGTCGGCTGGGCCTGGCTCTCGCCCTCATCTTCATTGTGGACTCTTCAGTTCAAGGTAAGCCCCAGGACTCTCGCTCATTCTCCTGCAGCCTCCTGTGTAAGCCCCGGGGTCTGCACAAGTCATTATGTTCCCTTTAAAGTACAGGATGCGTTATATTGTGGGAAAGGAGGCAAAGGAAGAGGACTTTTGGTGACTGAACTTCTTAGTGTGCGTTTGGTTAAGTGTGATACCAAGAAAAAGTAAACCCTCAGACTTGTAAACTCTTTACAATGACTGAAATTCGCTATTTTATTTTTGGGTGAAAATGGATAGTTTATATTGTAAATTTTTAAAGCTCAGAAAGGAATGACAACCTGTTGTGTGGGGGAGGTGGCACGGTTGGGTATTTTGGAGTCTGCCCACCCCCGCCTGTCCACATCTAGCCCACGTCTTAGTGGATCCCAAGTGGCGTCATAATTATTGGAACGCTGGGAAGAGCCAGTTTTGAATCAGAGTAAATTTGACTGCGTGTGTTTTTCATCTTTTTAAACTTGGTTCTTAGTGGGTAGGCATGGTTCCTGAAAACCCTCTTACATTTTAAAGAGGGACCCCAGAATTTTAGTATTTGTGCTGTTGGCCAGAGAAACGTCACAACTGAAAATTTCTTGTTAGGTTTCTCTGTCATTTATGGTTGTTTAGTAAGACTGAAATAAGGTAAAACCTTGAACCACTGAGAAAACAAAAATGTTTGTAAGAACTATACAATAGCTGCTCCTTTGGCAAATAAGGGATCCTGCCTACATCAGGCAGGAGGTCACGGTAGAATTCATAGTAGAAAAACATTAAGTTCCCCTAAACTGTAAGGGAAATATTGAGTCATGGTGACACACATGTCCCGGATTTGTTTCTTTGCATCTTGTTTTTACTTCTGATGGGAAGGAAGTCGTATAGCTGATCTCAGATACATTAATTATGTATTGGAAACTTATAAAATCATTTTTTTCTTGGTATGCAATGATTGAGAACAAACAAGCAAGCAATGTTGCTGAAGCTTTCCCACCGATCTATTGATTTTTTTAAAAAAGTGTTAAACATTGTTAGTTGTAGGGAACAGGCTTTAACGTGGGCCTTTTAGGAAATATCTTTAGCTCGATGAACAAGTCCATGTGTTCTCGCAAGATCCAGAGCAGAAAGGTCCATGTTTGTTGCACCGACTACAACGATCAGTGGTGCTGGGTCTTCCCTGGCCAGAGCGATAGATGTCTTTACATCTTCAACATTTCCCAGACATGGCATGTTCCCCACCAAGCTTCACCAGGTAAAACAGAATTACAACAAAAATGTTCCATGGAGCAGAAACCAGTTTGGCTCAGTGGATAGAGCATCGGCCTGTGGACTGAAGGGTCCCGGGTTCGATTCCGGTCAAGGGCATGTACATTGGTTTCGGGCACATCTCCAGTAGGAGGTGTGCAAGAGGCAGCTGGTCAATCATTCTCTCTCATCGATGTTTCTAACTCTATCCCTCTCTCTAAAAAATCAATAAAAAATATATTTTAAAAAAAATGTTCCATGGAGTAGGTGTTCATCAAAAAGAAGTGAAGGAAGAAAGAAAGAAACCATTATGGGATTGCATAAAATAGTAGCATTTATGTCATCATCTGGTAGGTTTAGCTCTTTGTTGGAAAAGAAACCAAAAGAGAGAAAATGAATGAATTGAAAAACCAGGGTGTTTCCAAAGGAGAAGTGGAATGGAGGGTTTGTGCTCACTTCTGAACAGGAAGATAAATTGACGCCCACCCAGGGCGACATGGTGAGTGAGCCACGTGATGCCAGATATGATTCGATAGCATCCCTCCCCCTCTTAACCCATTGGCTTGACTGAACCTATCAAATTAACTAGCCTTTTGGCCTGCTCTTACTGAACATATTCAAAACATCTTGGGTTACTGTATCAGTGTGCTAGGCCTGCCATAACAACGTACCACAGACTGGTGGTTTAAACAACAGAAATTTATTTCCCCACAGACCTGGGGGCCGGAAGTCCAAGATCAAGGTGCTGGCAGGGTTGACTTCATTCTGCAGCCTCTCTCCTTGGCTTCTGGCTGGCTGTCTTCTCTCTGTACCTTTATATGGCCTTTCGTCTATGTCTGTGTTCCAATCTCCTCATCTTTCAAGGACACAAGCCATATTGGATTAGGGATCATCAAGATGACCTCATTTTTCTTTAATTACCCCCTTTTAAGGCCCTGTCTCCAAAGACAGCCCCATTCTGAGGTCCTGGGAGTTAGGACCAACAGATGAATTGGGCTGGGGGCTGGGGAGAGGAGTTTGGAAGAGACACAATTCAGCCCATCAGTTACTATAAGTCAAACCCAAGTAAAGACATGATATACCACTGTCTACAGAGTCAAAGCAATGGAAGTTTGGCAATGTGTGGGAGACCATAGATGGCTCTCCAGGGTCTCCCACACATTTTCATGTCGAGCTCCTGGGGGTTATTGATGAGGCCTGTGAATCCGAAGCCCTCTTATTGCCTCTCTTCCTCAAAGAAGCCCATAAATAGAAAAACTGGAAAATCCATGAGCAGGTATGGCCCAGGGGGTCAGGGCCAGACCATGTGTCCACACTATCTCCTAGATCACAGTAAAGACACTTATTCCATTCATGTGTGCTGCTGTGGGACTGTAATGGGTTTTCCCACCCGTCTCTGGTAAATGATCATCACAGTCCCTGTGAGGAGGAACTAACACCAATTTAAAGAGGAGAAAACTGGATCTTACACTCATCATCCCATTTGCTCTTTACATCAACCTTTTGCAAGTGATTTATGAGACTTGCTCAAGGCCCCTTACAACTAATTAATAACAGCACTGCTCATCTGATTTTAAGACCAGCTAACTTTCTACTGCAACATGCCTATTTCTTGGTGTGTTGAGAGACTTTCTTTATGTAAAATAAAAAACCTTGCTTTGACTATAGCCCATGCTTTTAAAGTTCACCCCTGAGTTGAGGGACAGAGAGGGAGAAATTGAAAGTAAATATGATACTTTTAATAGCTTGTCAAACCATTCAAGGGTGGAGTCTCCTCTCCGTAGTGTAGAGTTGACTGGTCAGTAGGAAGCAACTTCAACTTAGAGAGTGAGGTCTGTTTGAGTGCTGCCAGACAGTGAATCAAAACGGTCTTTTCTCCTTCCTCCCATGGCAGCTTCTGCTTAAGTTTCTCTAACACACCTGCTGCAGCAAGTCCCCATTAAGTAGAGGAAATTAGTGCCCTGACTGGTTTAGCTCAGTGGAAAGAGCGTTGGCCTGTGGACCGAAAAGTCCCAGATTCGATTCTGGTAAGGGCATGTACCTTGGTTGCAGTTTCTGACTATCCCTTCCCCTTCCTCTCTGTAAAAAAAATCAATAAAAAATATTTTTTTTTAAAAAAAAGAAGAGGAAATTAGTAAATTGTGATGATGTTGGGGGAAATTGGTACTACAGTATAAAAAGTACTACAGTAATGTTTATTTATAGAAAATATTTTTTTAATATATTTTATTGATTTTTTACAGTGAGGAGGGGAAACAGATAGAGAGCTAGAAACGTCGATGAGAGAGAAACATCGACCGGCTGCCTATTGCAAATCCCCTACTGGGGATATGCCCACAACCAATGTACATGCCCTTGACCGGAATTGAACCCGGGACCCCTCAGTCCGAAGACCGACACTCTACCGCTGAGCCAAACCGGTTTCAGCTATTTATAGAAAATATTTTTGGTAAAGCAGAAAGAGAGAGAGAGAGAGAGAGAGAGAAAGAGAGAGAGAAAGAGAGAGAGAAAGGGATTCTAAATAAAAATCATTTTTCTCCCTGGAATCCATGACAAAATCAATTAGCAGATTCAATAAGTGGGGCCTTTTAGGAAGATAATCTTTCAGTACAAGAGCATACTTCCTTTTATTTTTTAAAATATGGTAATCATAAAATATTTCTCTCAAGTAAAAGAGAGTCAAGATACTCCTACAACATTAGGAGCTGGATCTGTCCAATTTTCACATCCTGCCAACTCCTTTGAATAGACATGTCAGGAACTATGGTCTGTAACCACGTTCCTTATTTTAAAGACATCAGTCCCAAACCAGATCAGCTTTGGAGTGTGTGTGTATGTGTGTGTATGTTGCGGGGGGGGGGGGGGGGGGGGGGGGGGGGGAGAATGATTGCTACCTTTCATTTCTTTATAAGTTTTTAAAACATCTTTATTGAGATAAAGTTCATGGACATATAATTCACCTGTTTAAAGTGTATAGTCTCATGGTTTTTAATGTATTCACAGATACAGGCAATAATCACCATAGTCAGTTTTAGAACATTTTGTCATCCCCCCAAAAAGAAACCCCCTTGATAAAATTTAAAAGCTGAGATTCTGAACTTCGGGGAAAGTTTTGTATTTTTTATATATATATATTTTTTTACTAGTTTACCAAAGTTGTACGTATTTGTTTTTACCAGTAAAAAGCTGTCATTAATCAACTGGATTCTTCCTCATAAAGTGTCAGTTTTTACTTCTCTGTTTAACTTCCTATCTATGCAAATATTTCTGTGGCTTGATAGTCAATGCACCAGCCACATGGAGAGGATCCTGCCCAGGCCTGCTCTGTCCAAAAGGGGACCACCAGCCACGTGGGCCTTCCTGAAATGAGTGTCACGTGGCGAGTCCACACTGAGACCTGCTTTCCATGCAAATACACAGCAGATTTGAAGTCTTAGTATTAAAATAAATCAGTAGCTTTTGTATTCCGTTAAGTAATAATATTTGAATATGTTGGCTTAAATAAACTGTATGTAAGTGAGTTTCACTTATATCTTTTTACTCTTTAAAATATGGCTGCTCACCTTGGTTGGAGGTTCATCCCTGCCTCAGATTGGGGCGTGTTCAGGAGGCAACCAATCAAGGTGTCTTTCTCTCATGTGGTTTCATCTTCTGTAACTATTGGACAGCATTTGTCTAGGCCAGTGATTTCAACCTTTCTCATTTCCGGGCATACAAAACTAATCACTGAAATTCTGTGCCACACAAAAAAAACGTATATTCTAGTTTTTGCTAATCTGACCAAAAATGGGTGTCATTTTGATTCATTCACACTGGTCAGCTATTGCTGTGTTGGCGGCTGTCATTTTAAAATATGACAATCTAAGGGAAAAGAGGTCAGTGTCCCTGACTAAATAGTCAGGTATTGCATGTTTAAAAAATTCTTGGCCCTGGCGGGGTAGCTCCATTGGTTGAAGCATTGACCAGAAGCACCAAGGGTTCGGGTTTGATCCCCAAGTAGGGGCACATGCAGGAGACAGCCAGTGAATGCATGAGTGAGTGACAGAACAGATTGATGTTTCTCTCTCTCTCTCTCTCTCTCTCTCTCTCTCTCTCTCTCTCTCTCTCTCTCCCTTTCTCTCTCAAATCAATTTTTTAAAAAAAGTTAAGATATATATTGTTGCACACCAGTGTGCCTGCTGCTACATTGGTTGAAAATCACTGGTCTGACAACATAGGGTGTGAAGACAGCACCCTCTGCTGGAAAAGATGTTGGATTTTTATTTATTTATTTATTTTTTAATCCCACCTACAAGTCTAGGCTTCTAAGTAGTACATAATTAGATTCCAAACGTAGGCTGCTTCAGGAAAGAACCAGAGGAGAAAGAAAGGGTGAAAATGCATTAACTACCTACCATATGCAAAGGCTGTGATAGATATTTTCACATACATTTGTCTTACATAGGAACTCTTTGGGACACTATTCACACTTGAAAGAGGAGAAATTGAGAATCAGAAAGGCATTTAATGGTAGAACAGTAATTTAAATTCTGCCCTCTCTGCAAGCTATTCTCTATCAGAGCACGGTCCTTGTTGTTCTCCTAAGCAGAGAAACTAGCACTCACAAAGCTCTGACCATGTGCTATTCTAAACAATTAATATTGACATCTCGTTATTAGATCTACTTCTTTCCCTCATTTTATGAATGAGGCAATTGAGGCATGGGGAGGTTAAGTAAGTCAAGGTCACACAGCTGGTAAAGGGCAGACATTGTGATGAGATCTTGCTACCTGACCCCCAGCCTCCAGGCAGTGACAGAGCTAACTTTATTTATTTATTTATTTATTTACTTACTTACTTAAAAATCTTTATTGTTGAAAGTGTTATATATGTCCCCTTCTTCCCTCCAACACATTTTAAATGATGAGCTGTCCCAGACCAGACATTATATTTAGGAACCATGGGAAAGGTTGTGATAGACTAGCAGTTCGGAAGGAAGGGAGGGAGGAAGGGAAAGAAAGAAAAGAAGAAAAGAGAATATTTAGATTTTTTCTACATTATAGTCTTTTGTTATAATTTTAAAGAAATATTGTTTATTACAGCAATTTAGAAAATTAAGTGAGGGGGGAAAAATCACCGGAGTCTACCACTAGTTGTTTTTGTATATTTTCTCCCATCTCCCCCCATATCTGTTTCTATGGTTTCTTTAACCTTTATGTATGTAAACAACTATTATGCATCACAGTGACATTCTGCTTTTTTCATTCATTTTAAAATAGAGGTTTTCTTATGATGTTACATAGTCTTTTCCCTAACTACTTTTTTTTTTTTTACCATTTGGTTAACATTCTTTCATATGAATGCCAAAGAACTTATTTGAGTATTTTCTATTATTTTGATTATATTTTCCTATTTTGAATAATACTAAGGTGGACAATTGCATGTATCTTTTGTATTTTACCTATTCTTCCATCTCCCTATTGATACATGTAAATATGTATCATGTATATCTTAATGATATGATAATTTGGCAGTTGTATTTATAAAATGAATCAGAAATACTAGCTAGAAAAAAAGTTGAGGATAGAGATAATAGTCATGAGAAAAAGGGAAATAATGATGAAGATGATGTTTTGAAAGCATTCAGTGGTTCTGCAGTCTTTTGAGAACCAGGTTCTTGGCCATCCCATTGAGATGTAAGGGGAACTTGACTCTGATGGTGCTGTCAGGAGAGAATGGGACACTGCTTGTGCATATGCTCCTGGAAACACAGATACCCAGGAGGAAAAAAAGCAGAACTCCAAAATCCACACTCTCTGGGGCATTGGGTAAAGAGATTAGCAGTAATTTCCCTTTCTTTTTTTTATAATTGATTTCAGAGAGGAAGGGAGAGGGAGGGAGAGAGATAGAAACATCAATAAGGAGAGAGAATCATTGATTGGCTGCCTCCTGCATGGCCCACCCTGGGGATCGAGCCCACAACCTGGGCATATGCCCTGACTGAAAATTGAACCAGCAACCTTTCAGTGCTCAGGATGATACCCAAGCAACTGAGCTACACCGCCCAGGGCATCCCATCTTTTGCTATTGCAAAAAACGCTGCAGCGATTGTCCACAGCACTATGTCTCTCCCCCCGCCTTAAGTAGTTGTTATGATCTATACAGGACAACAATGTGCTGGGCTTTAAAACCACCTTTCCTGCTTTTCAAGAACTGAATATGTCAGCTATAATTAAAAAAAAAAAAGAAGGATTTTAGGCATGCTGCGTCTTGCTAGGTGATCATTAGTTGCACCCACGTGAATAAAGCGCGTGCTTGGGTGGGAGGAGATAAATCTTTTGAAGGGTCAAGTATTTCTCACCATTGGGCCTCCATCCTTGCTAAATGGAGGACTGAAGGATTTATTTCAGGAATTAATGAGAGATCTCCTGTATAATCTCATAGCATTTCCATAGCCATTAAACTCACAGGAAGCGAGGACAGACTAGGATAGTCCAGCCTGCCCGTCCCTTTGTGAGGAGGAGCCTTGCTGTTTTGAAATCTCTGACTAGATCGAAGGGCAAAAAAAAGAGGCCACGTTTTTAACTGCTTGCATTCCTAAGAGCTCTCTATGGCCCTCAGGAAATAAGACTCTATACTATGTCCGGTGCACGCAATAGAATCCTAACCTTTGTGAGCATGATTGGACTCATCTCTGTAAGGAGAGGCCGGCAGCACCCAGACGGTCTCCGTGTCCCTCTGTGTAAAATGAAGATAATAGCGCAAACATAGTGCTAGTTAATGTTAGCTGGTGTTTACTGAGTGCCTGGCACTGCGTTAAGGTCTTTACATGCATTTCTCTTTTTGTGACCAGCTTATGGAAAAGAGACAGTTAGTGTCTTCATTTTGCAGTGAGAGCTCAGGGAAGAGAAGGCTTCATGGCCCAGCAGCAGCAGACCTCCGGCTTCACTCTGACTTCTCCAAGGCTTATTTTAACCTTTCCCTCTGGCGACTTTGTAAGGGTGTTGTGAGAAGGACAGATGGTCTAGATGTAAAAGGCTGGTACCCAGTGTGTGCTCCTGTCATCTTTATGGTCATAAAATCTGTCTACACCTTACCTGCTACCAGATGTAGAATCTAATTAAACATTTCTTAGTGACAGAGGATAGACTAGAAGCTGTGTACGAGATACTTATTAACGATGTGGGTTGCTTGCTTGGGCAGGTTTACCTGTGTGGAGGGCCAGCTACCAGAGGGTCCGCTGTAATCCCGACAGCACTTCTGCAAACTGCATTGAGGAAAAGGGACCGCTGTTCGACCAACTTCTAGGCCAATTCAACAGAATCCTCCCACCCAGGACTGACCCTTTTCTGTAAGTGATTTTCTCTACTTTTACTTTCACCAACCTCTCTTGAGATCTTGGCATGGAGGTGGGGGGGTCGTCTAGGGTGTTTTTCTTCAGGCTTTTGCTTTGGGGGGGTTGGTTTTCACTGCACAGTACATGGTAAAATGCATTTACTAGTAGACAAGAAGTGCAAGAATACGTGGTTCAGGTATTGTTTTGCAAAGTCTTTATTTTGGCAGAGACAAAAATTGAGTAAAAAAAATTTGTGAAAATAATTGGTGGGAATATATATATTTTTTTTACCAACAAGCACTGAAAATGATTGAACATTATTTTATTTATGTAAATAGAGCACAATAGATACTAAAATCTAATAAAAATCCATCAACCTCATAGGTAAACAACATGCTACATCCCTAAAGTCTAATATTATTTAATCATAAGAAGGGATGAAGTACTGACACATGCCACATCATGGATGAATCCTGAAACATTATACACAGTGTAAGAAACCAGACACAAAAAGCCATATATTATATGATTCTACTTATAGGAAATGTCCCGAATAGATAAATACATAGAGGGAGAAAGTAGATTAGTAGTTGCCAGGGGCTGGAGGAATAAAGAGTGGCTAATAGATATAGGATTCTCAAGGGTTCATAAAAATGTTCTGGAATTAGATAGTGGTGATTTTTAGCAAGAAGAAATCAAGAAGAGGAAGAATAAATAGACATGACTTACAAAAGAAAACCACGGCCTTGTCTGGCTAGCTCAGTGGGTTAGAGTGTCATCCCAGTATGCCTAGATTGCGGGTTTGATCCCTGATCAGGGCACATATAAGAAGCAACCAATAAATGCATAGATAAGTAGAACAACAAATCAATGCCCCCTTTCTCTCTTTCTCAACTCAATAATAAAAAGGAAACCAAACCTCTTCTTGATCAAGTAAAACCTGCTTTAAACTTGCAAAAAAGATTCAATAGGAACTCATAAGCAACAAAAAATTGAATTCCACTAGAATTGGTTATTTCAATGAGTATCAAAGTTATCTAACATACAGCAAAAAATGAATTATTAAGAGGATTTTCATAAAAGTTTTAGTCCTGAGAGCTAAACCTAGAAAATCACTCTCCTGTAAGCCAGCTAAATCATCATGCCCAAACCAGCTCAGCCCATCATGACCTGGGGGATCCTGGCGACCCTCTCCATCACCACCTTCACCGTGCAGGAGGTGACATCATGGCCATCTCAGAAGGCAACTCTGCGGTCCTGTCCTGTCCTTTTACTTTTGTCCTTTTGTCCCTTGAGGATGTATTACGTGCCTAGAAAAAGAATCCCAGGATTTCCCCTCCCGGGTGATTTTGTCTTGCTCCTTCATGGTCAATGATGCCCGCTGAGGCTGTCGGTACCATGAAACCAAAGTGACGGGCCAGAAGTAGGTGGTTCTGCCAGTTTGCTAGACCTTTGATTGCACATCAAATCAGGGCCTGATTACTCCACACTTGTCCAACCTGCCTGTGAGGTTCACAAATGTTTTCCCAGCTCTGTGGTCATCACTAACTTCAAATTCCCCAGTGTAACCATCCTTCGTTATCACAGTTAGAAACCAGAGGATGACGTTGGAGCACGGCCTAACAAGAGCCTGGCTGTCGCCTCTCTTTTCGGCATAGCTGATACTCTTGGGGGCACAAGCTACGACAGTCATGCACCCCGTAAGGCATCGCAGGAAGATGGAGGAAGGAGCCCTTATGCTTTTGCTTTAAGTCCTTGGCACTAACCTTGAACTGATATTACAGGATCCTCCGTTATGTTAGGTCTTAGGTTTCAATAGCGATTTATTTAAATCTAAAATATTAGAGGAATAACCCAAATTCTTCAAAAACACTTATTTTACACCATTTCTTCTCTCCTCAAATCTCTATGATCCCCACCCCCCAGCCAGTAACTTTCCTTCTCACTCTTACAAGTGGGTTCTATCAAAGCACTGTGAATTATTAGAAGTTTTGTAGGAATTTTAAATTAGGGAAAAATGTCATCTATCTAGGCTGTCTTATTTATCCTTTCTTTAGTGGAAGGAAATGAATAAAAGGGTCTTTTTATTTTTAATAAAGGATTCCTTAAACGTATTCCAGGTATAGGATTCTTATGCTCTAAGAAAACTAGCATTGTTTATATGAGTTTGCAATGGGTAGATGTGGAATAGATAAGAGCAACGAGTTACATAAAACAAGGGTAGGCAAACATGTGAAAGGGTCTGACTTATTTTTTGTTTGAAAGCTTTGAATATATGAAATTTTAACTTTTCATTTGGTTAACTAATTAACTGGGTGGCTGCATTTGTTTTCTTACGTTAAAAATGTATTACAATGATCCTTCTTATGTCTCTAGCTTTACTGTGGTTTTTTCATTTTTCTGTCTTACTTCAGAACGACGAGATTCCAGGACTTGAATGATGTCTTCCCTCTTTCTGAGGAGTATTCTGGCTCAGGCTCAGGCTCTGACTCTGGCTCAGGATCTGGTGGTGGCTCTGAAGATGGCTTCCTAAATGAAATTGAGGCTGACTACAAACCAGCAATTGATTTTTCCTCCAACTTTCAGCCTATGCCTACAGATGACCTGGACTTGGGGCGAGATGGACCAGAACAGAATTTTATCATATAAAAGAGAGGGTATCCCACCTTGATACCAGCCAATGCATTCAGTATATTTTGTGTAGCACAGTTCAATGATTAATTTTGGCACAAAAGGTTTTATAGAAGTTTTAAAACATCTGAAAAAGAAGTTTAAGTTTTATCAACTTTTTCCCCCCTCATGAATCATTAAAGCCTCCTTCACCTGTATTGTCTTAGAAAATATTTGCACTTTCTTTATATTATATTCATTCAATGTTGCTATGAATTCATTAGATTCCTTGTGTTTATAAAATTGCTTTACAGAATAAATTATACTGTTTTTCTTTTTAAAAATGAGTTTGAGAAGCAAATTGACAGGCAATGTTTCATACCTAAGGCTTCAGAAACCTGACTTTGATCGTGAATTATAGATAAGCCCCTTTTTAAGTAAAAAAACACACAAAAAAACACACACAAAACCAACAAACAAACGGATGAAACATAGTGAATTTAAAGAGTGGGTTTTTGGCATGTTTTACAGTGTAAAGGGTACAGCCCTAGTATTACCATTGGGTGAGTTTGCAGAGCTGCTGGACATGGTTTGTTTATGAGCATGATTGCTGTTTCAGTTATAAACTTAAGACCCAAAGTAAAGCACAGCTGTGCTCTCCATACCTCATACTACTTTATCTTCCCCCCTGGATACCTGTGTGTTTCCCAATGTTCTATTAAAGCATAAGTATAATCAAAGGGTTAAGCTGTCTGGGATCTCTTGTCTTAAATTCAGGATTATAATTATTTTTGCGCATATTTTATTAACAAAATAGAAGTCTTATTAACAAAATACAAATTTTAAAAAAATATATATTTTATTGATCTTTTGCAGAGAGGAAGGGAGAGGGATAGAGAGTTAGAAACATCAACGAGATAGAAACACCTATCGGCTGCCTCCTGCACACTCCCCATGGGGGATGTGCCCACAACCAAGGTACATGTCCTTGACCAGAATCGAACCTGGGACCTTTCAGTCTGCAGGCTGATGCTCTATCCATTGAGCCAAACTGGTTTCGACAAAATACAAATTTTATTTTACAGTGAGATCAAACTATGTTTCTAGAATCAAGTTCTATTAAGTAGTAGATGAAGAAAACTATCAGACTACAGCAAGAGGGTTCTTCTTGTCCAACACTTCCTCTCTTTTGGAGGCCATTCCCATTTCTGTTCCTCCTGGTTCGGTGAAGCTTGTTGTCGTCATTGTCATGGATCCTGTTCTGCATCGTCCAGATCTCCTCTTGAGAACTGAGGGCTTAATCTCTGCTGAAGGAGCCACCTTGTCCACAGCTACACCTTCTTTCCAGGGCAGCCTGTACCCAGGGACTGGTGGAGGAAGTGGCCCGCATCTGGAGTCACAGATGAGCTAATGTCAAAGACCTGGCTTCTAGGGGATGGGTTAATCAAGGTAACTAAGGGAGATCAGGGTCGTGGTCTCTACTGATTGGTGAGCACTAGGGTAGGAGGTAGTTGATCTGGGTCCAATGTCAGCCATGGCTTCACTTCATCTGGTTTTACCACTTTTCTGGGTCTGGGGCTGAAACACAACTGAGGTCTCAATGTTATCTCTAGTTTGAAACTCTGTCTCTGTGGTCAGTAGACCCGAGGCTTTGTTCCTAAGATTATTTTATGCCAACCGAGGCCTCTTTGTCTCGGGGGGCTTAATGATTAAGGGAGTGGTTGTGCAAGGAAGAAGGAAGCTGGTGAATTGAATGAGGGTTTTGAATGAGGCCAGTTTGAATCAAAAGGAAAGAAAGGAGAAAAGGAAATATTAAAGAAACAAAGATTCTGCATGGTTACACCAGTATTGAAGTACACTTTTGGGATATAGGTTTTAATACCCAGGAGAAGGTGTTGACAAGCTGCTAGAACAGCTCTTTTTAAAAAAATATATTTTATTGACTTTTTACAGAGAGGAAGGGAGAGGGATAGAGAGTTAGAAATGTCGATGAGAGAGAATCATTGACCAGCTGCCTCCTGCACACACCCTCTCAGCCCCCCCCCCCCCCCCCCAACACTGGGGATGTGCCCGTAACCAATGTACATGCCCTTGACCGGAATCGAACCTGGGACTTTTCAGTCTGCAGACTGACGCTCTATCCACTGAGCCAAACCAGTTTAGGCTAGAACAGCTCTTAAAAGTTTGGAAAGAGAAACATCCCTTTTAAGCAAAGTAGAAATGTTAGAACAGCCTTGGCAGACAGTGGAAGAAGGGAGTCAAAAGGTTCAAGGAAGTGAGCATGCTAGAATGAACAGACGATGTAAACCTTGAAACCCCACCAGATGACTGCTCTTCAGGAAGGCCAAAGCAATGGAGAGTATACTGGCGAGAGAGACAACATCTCTGAGCTATCATAAGTGGTAGCTCTCCTGTGAAGGCAGGATTGATGGTAGAGATATTGCAGAACTGGATTCTCTAATAGCAATGGAATAATAAGGTCCCCAAATAATAGAGTCCAGGTGGTAGTCCTCTGTCATCAGAAGCCAGTGGGGCAATTATCATAATAAACAACAACATTAGAACGAAATCCAGGAGAGCTTACTGGATTGGTCATCTCCAGAGGTAAGATAATGGGTAAGAGTACCGCATCAAATTCCAACGTGTGTTGAAGAGGGTTGGGGGGTTTCCCACACCCACCAGCAAGTCTCCAAACACCAACTGGATGTTCCAATTTAACTCAATTCTGAACTATCTGCCTAGAGATAGCACCAGATCCCACAGGTTAAGGGCTCAGCCTCATTTAGCTGCTCTCCACTTCAGATGCCAATCACAATGGTAATTTTTTCCAAGTTTCCGCATTATAATTAGAGTGGACATACCTGGTAGTTAGCACAACTTCCGCATTGCTTTCTTGACCTGTGTGACAGGAGCCATTGCAATGAGGAAGACAAAGTGAGACTGGTAAAGCTAGCCGACTACCCATCCACCATAAATAAACAGTTCATCCTAGGTGGTATATCAGAGATCAGCAGTACCTTTAAAAACCTAAAACACACAAGGATGCTGGTCCTTGTAATGTCTCCATGTAATTCACTAGTCCAGGTCTTGCAAAAACCAGGCGACTCCTGGAGGATGATAGTGGACTGTCACAAATGTAAACAACTAGTAGTTCTAATTGCAGCAGCTTCAGGTTGGTGGTAGGCCAGCACTGTCAAAAGGAAGATCTCTCTCATCATTGATGTTTCTATTTCTCTCTCCCTCTCCATTCCTCTCTGAAACCAATAAAATACATATTTATAAAAGGAAGAGAGAGGGAAATAGAAACATCAATGATGAGAGAGAATGCCTCCCACAGGCTCCCTACTGGGGATCAATGCTCAACCACTGAGCCACAGCAGCCTGGCAACATTGTACATCTTTATAAAAAATATATATTATTTTATTGATTTTTTTACAGAGAGGAAGGGAGAGGGATAGAGAGCCAGAAACACTGACCAGCTGCCTCTTGCATACCCCCCACCGGGCATGTGCCCACAACCATTGTACATGCCCTTGACCGGAATCGAACCTGGGACTTTTCAGTCCACAGACAGACGCTCTATTCACTGAGCCAAAAACTGTTTCGGCAACATTGTACATCTTGATAAAGGCATGGGTTAAACGAATTTATGCATTTGTCAAAACTGATAAAACTGAACCCTTAAGATTTGTACATTTGTAGGATGTAAATTTTATCTTTACTTATGTAAATTATACCTCAGTAAAAAGGGGAACAGTGAGATAAAGCATTAAGAACATTTATCATGATTACAGAAGCACTGGCTGAAGCTGGTAAGCAGGATGTATTCTACCTGGTCTGGAAGGTTAAGAGAAAAAAGTGTTTTTCTACTTGTTCACACGCTTTAAATTCAATTTTCTTTTTCTTTCTTTCTTTCTTTCTTTCTTTTTTTTTTTTTTTTTTTTTTTTTGAGGGAGCATATTTGTATTTGATTATTTTTTTTCTTAACTTTGGCTGTCAACTCTAGTAGGGAAGACAGCAAATAGCTGCTCCTTGACACTGTCACAATTATTAATCTGACATCTTAGCCTTCATGAATTTGGATGGATGGCCAATTTTCTCCTATTTCTTAATAGGTAGAAGCTCAAATTATATTCTCACCTAATGCTTTTTAACCTGAACCTGGTACTTTTTTGTGTGAAAGTGAACACTTGCTAGTCACATTTTCCACAACCTTTTATTTTGCAAAGGGCAAATGTAGAGATGCCACAGTCCTTGGCTGGCAGGACGATGTACTTCTGACGATCTAGCTTTAACTTCTGGCTTAAGTAGGTAAGTTGATGGAGAACTCACTGAGCAGTTCTGTCGCCCTGGCACCTATTACATTAGCATGGCTATTGGGTTTTGGTCAGTAGAATAAATACTTAGTACAAATTGGCCTGTGGTGTAATCTTCTTTGCCAGCTCTTATTTATACTTGGCTTCCCCTGTATGTCTTTGCTACTGCTACTTTTATTTTTTTATTTTTTAAAATATATTTTATTGATTTTTGTACAGAGAGGAAGGGAGAGAGATAGAGAGTTAGAAACATTGATGAGAGAGAGTCATCTATCAGCTGCCTCTTGCACACCCCTATTGGGGATATGCCCACAACCAAGGTACATGCCCTCGACCGGAATCAAACCCAGGACCCTTCAGTCCCCAAGCTGACGCTCTATCCACTGAGCCAAACCGGCTTCGGCTGCTACTGCTACTTTTATTTGTTCTCATTGATGTGTTGAAATTTAAGTCCCCAGACTTAGAGTGGGTAGAAATTAGCATAGCTGTCAAGGTAATAGGCAAATCTTCTAAGTAAAAATAAATCATCTTCCTTTTTCATTGATAATGTCTTATTTCATGAAGATTTGCATTGTTTTTACTCTTTTTTTCCTCACAGTTTAAATGGCATTGCCAGTATAATTGTAGCTATGAATAATATGCTAATACCTAATACAACTTTTAAATAGTGCTTAGAAATCAACCTGCACCCCATCCAGATTCAATCTAGCTTATTAAATGTGCTTTGACCATAGTCTTTTTCAGTGATTTTTCAACTGGTGGGCCTCAAGATATTTTAAAGCATGCAATACCTGACTAGTCACAGGCACTGACCTCCCCCTTAAATTGTAAAATAAAAAAAATTGACACAACATAATAGCCATCTGGTGTGAATGCCCAGTCTTGAACCATAATATATATCTATATATAAAAAACTCTAAGCAACCGGTCAACCATTCAACAGGTCGACCATTTGGCTGGTCACTATGATGTGCACTGACCATCAGGGGGAAGATGCTCAATGCAAGAGCTGCCCCTGGTGATCAGTGCACCCCCACAGCAGAGTGCAGCTGACCCATGGGCGCCAGTCACAGGGCTCACAGCTGGTTTTCCCCGCCTCTATCGTAGGCTACCAGAGCAGTGGCAGCAGTGGCAGGCACGGGGGCGGGCGCTGGGATGAGCAGGAACGGCGCAGAGCTGTTGGGCTTCTCCCTGGCAGCCTGCTGCTTCACACACTACTACATCCTTCAGGGGATGTCAGATTGCTGGCTTTGGCCCGGCAGTGGCAGTCTGAGTGGTCCAGGAGTGTGAGAGGGCGCAGGCCAGGCTGAGGGACCCCACCGGTGCATAAATGTGGGCACCAGGCTTCTAGTAATTCATATATATAATTGCATCTTATTGGTCATGTCACATGATGAGGTTACATCTAATTGATTAATTAATTCTTGGTACCAGAAATCCACATATATGATTGGGAAAAAAAAGTCCTTTGGAGCAAAAAGGATAGGTGATTACTATTATTAATTTTTATGTGAATCACTAAAACTTATACCTATTTTTGTCAGATTGGCAAAAAACACATTTTTTGGTGTGCCGCGCGGAATTTTAGTTTATGTGTGCCAAGTGAAAAAGGTTGAAAATCGCTGGTCTTATTTACTAATGTCAAGTGGGCAGTCTCATAGAGTTAGAAAAAAACTGTACTGGGAGCTAGGATATCATCTTAATCCTAATAAAACAAAAAAGTTGGACTAGTTGATCACCAATTAGGTCTATAGCTCTAATTAAAAAACAAAATATTGTGGGCTTACTGAATTTTAGGTGTTACGGTTGGTCTAAGAGGTTCGGTAGCTTGTAGTTCCTTCACTAAATCTGGTAGGGAAGACAGCCTATATTTAAAGGGCATAAACAAATGCTCTGTTGGAATGAAGATGGAAGATAATTCTTCTTCTCATGGTTGTGAAGAAATACTCAGGCAACATCCAGAATGTGTTGCTTTAAAATTCTGCCCCAGCAATCTTCCTGAATCTGGAGGTAAGAGAGTGATATCTATGGACCTCCTCGTATTCAGCTGTTCTCTAATTGCTCCTCACTCGGTGTTACTTACCTGTCCTTGTCACTCAGCAAGCTTCAGTTACACTGCCTTTCCATTCCTGGAAAGAGCCAGGCCTTTTCCTAGTTCAGGCCCTTTACACGAGCAGTTCAGGAAGAACTGGACTTCTTCCTTCAGTTCTCCTAATAGGTGACTCATCCTTTCAGATTTGTTTAAATGTCACTTTCCTACCACCTACCTATAATAAAAACAACTCTTTTCAACCCATCATGTCCCAGGTCTATTTCTGTTTAGTTCTTTTCCCCAACTGAATATATTTATTTAATTACTTGTCTCTTGACCATTTCCTACACTAAAATTTCAGTTCCTTGGGGGCAAGAACATTGTCATTATTATCATCATCATCATCATCATCATCACTAAATGGCTCTATCTGTACAGCCTACAACACTCAACATTTAATGTGCACTCAATAAATGTGTGTTTAATTAATGAATGTCAGGATCCCTGAATGCAAACATCTGGCTCCAGCAAATACTCTTCAGTTACTTGACAGAGTCTGCTATAACAAACACAATCTTAAAAGGGGAAATCATGAAACATTCTTTCTCCTTTGATTTATCCTTGTTTCCTTTACATCTTAGATAAAAAAGGTTCTGCACTTGTTTCATTTCACATTTCACTTATTTATTATACACTAGAGGCCCACTGCACAAAATTTGTGCACAGGTAGGGTCCCTAGGCCTGGCGGCCATCAGGGCTGATCTGTGGGATGATCTGTGATCCCCCATTGGCACCCACCTTGACCAGACAGACGCTGCCTGCTTGCTCATCCCATTCCCCTGCTGCCACCAGTGCTGCATTGAGCATCTGCCCCCTGGTGGTTGGTGTGCATCATTGTGACCAGTTGTTCCACTGATCATTCCAACGTTTGGTTGATTTGCATATTAGGTTTTTATTGTATAGGACACATGTGTCAAACACAAGGCCCTCGGGCCAAATCCGTCCCGCCAGGCCTTGCAATGTGGCCCGCACTGCGCTGTCATCACTGCACGCCGCTGCGTTTCCATCACAATGACAGTTTATGACTATTCAGTAAACCATTCGGCATGCGATTTAGGCTGGATTTTAGATTTTGGCCCCTTCTCTGATTGAGTTCGACACCCCTAGTATAGGATATAACACTTTTTTAAAGCTAGTAATCAACCTAATGGGTGTGAGGTGATATCTTGTGGGTTTTATTTGCATTGTTCTGATTAGTGATGTTGAAAATCTTTTCAGGTGTTTGTTGGACTTTTGTGTATCATCTTTGGAGAAATGCCTATTCAAGTTCTTGGTCAGATTTGATGTTTTGTTATTGAATTGCAGGGGTTCTTTATATATTCTGGAAACCCCATCAGATATGATTTACAAATATTTTCTCCCATTCCATAGGTTACCTTTTCACTCTGTTTATCCTTTGATGAACACATTATTTGATATGGCTCCATTTGTCTATCTTTGGTTTTGTTTTTATTTTCATATTCAAGAGATCACTGCCAAGTCCAATGTGGTGAAGATTTTCCTCGTGTTTCTTTTAGGTTGTTTATAGTTTTAGGACTTATATTTAGTTCTTTACTCTATTTTGGATATAGTGTAAGAGAAGGGTCCAAATTCATTCTTTTACATGTGGATATCTAGTTTTCCCAGCACTATTTGTTTTTAAATATGTTTTTTATTGATTTTAGAGAGAAAGGGAGAGATAGAAAAATCGATGAAAGACAGTGATGGGCTGCCTCCTGCACACCCCCCTACTGGGGACTGAACCTGCAACCCAGGCATTTGCCCTCACTGGTGACTGAACTGATGAATTCTTGGTTCATGGGTCTACACTGAACCATTGAGCCATACCTGCCAGGCCCCAATAATATTTGTTGAAGAGACTGTCCTTTCTCATTGAGTCACCATGGCACCTTTATCGAAGATCAGTTGATCATATTTATGAGGGCTTTTTACTTAATTGACTTTATTTTTTACAGCAGTTTTAAGTTCACAGCAAAATTAAGCAGAAAGTGCAGTTCCCATATACCCCTTGCTCCCTCCCCACACTAATGTGCTTTTTAAAAGCTTCCTCATGTGAACTTACATTGCTGATTTTAAATCTTTCTTCTTTACAACTATGCTCATTTAAAGCTATGGATCTCCTGCATCCCATAAATCACTACATTGCATTTCCATTTAGTTGAAGCTATTTTTAAAGTTCCACTTATGTCTTCTTGACACAGGGGTTTAGAATTATGTTGCTGGGTTTCCAAGTACTTGTGGATTTCCTAGCTATCTTGTTGTCATTTCTAGTATAATTCCATTGTGGTTAGCAGCCATACTCTAATTTCAAGCTTCTTAAACTCGAGGCTTGCTTTATGGCCCTACTTCACCAACTTGATTTTGTTTTGTTATGGATTACTGTTGTGCACGCAGACTTTTCCTGCTTTGGTAATGTATAGAGGGCATTGTGGTGGGTATTCGCGAAGTTTTGAAATCCTAAAACAGTATTCCATCGTCTGGAGGTCCTCCAGGCTGACACTGCAGTGATTAGGCTGAGGCTAAAGCCAGAGTCCTCTTTAGCATCATCAGACTTTAAAATAAATATATATAATTTCCAGTGGTTTCCAAAGAGGAAGAAAGTGGGAAAGACTGAAACATTAATGATGAGGATCACTGATTGGCTGACTCCTGCAAGTCCCCCAATTGGGGGACCAGGATCGAACCTGAGACCCTACAGTCCGCTGGCTTGCGCTCTGCCAACCAGCCGGGGCGGCATCATCGGGCTTCTTAGGAAGCCTTTCCCACTCACGGAATGGCACCACTTACGAGAGCCCTTTACAGTTAGGAAGCAACGTACATGGTACGGTTACATTTCCCCCCATTGGTCGTGTCTTCAGAGGCAACAAAGTTAAGTTCGCAAAACCAAGAAGTTTTCGGAGGGAGAGAGAGCTGGGTAGAGTTGGAGAAAGTTGGAAGAATGCCTCATTTCCGGATTAGAGAGCACTGTCTCTTGCGAGGCCTGAGGAAGCAGGACCTCGAGTAACAGCTGCCCTTCCCCTCAGGGGCCGGTCACCCACCGGCGGACAGCGCCTTCCGAACAAACCCTTCCACCCCCGCTCCTTTCCCAGCTGCTCAAACGGAGGAGGAACCCGTGGGGGCAAAGGAGCCGGTCAGCAACCGACAGTCACGCGACGGAAAGGAGCGCAAGGGGGACCCGGGAAGCCTCCGGCCGCGCAGGCCCCGCCCACTTTACGACAACTCAGGGCCCCGCCCCGGGCCCCGCCCCCTCCGCCGTAGGGTGGAGCGCGAAGCCCCGCCCCCAAGCGGCCTTTCTCGCTGGCCAATAGGGCGGGGCTTGAGACCAGTAGGAAGTCGGTGCGGAGGGAGGAAGGGGTCACGTGCTGTGGGCGGCCTGGGGTCACGTGACGGAGTGCGGGTCTGGGAGTTCTCCTGAGGGGAGCCCAGCGGAGCGCGGGGGACGCGGCGGCGGCGGCGGCGGCGGCGCGGCGCTGACAATGGTGAGTGCGCGGCGCCCCGCGCGCTGGCCGCCAGCCGCGGCTCGGGACTGCGCGGTGGGACGGCCCAACCGCGGCCCGGTGTCGCGGGAGGAGCCGCGGGCGGAACGGCAGGCTAGCGGGGGCGGGAAGCCGCGTTAGGCCCGTCGGGCCACGGCGGGGTCTGGCGAGGGCGGGCGACGCGGACGCTCCCCACCCTCGGCGGGGCCCTCGCATCTGCGGGCGGCGGCGGTGGCGGCTCGCTCTCCCGGCCATGTCTGAGCCTCAGCCCTCGCTCCTCGGGCGGCTGTGGGGGCCCTGGCTGGGTCCTCGGACCCCGCCTCGGCGGGGACCCGCCGCCGCCTCCCCTCCCAAGGTAGCCAGCCCCCCGCTCTTCCCCGGCAGCTTCGGCTTCTTTCACGGGGGGTGGCGCTTGAGTCCCCTCGTTCTGGACTCGGGTGGTCAGTCCTTCCCAGAGTGTCACCAGCTGGAGGACTCTAACTCCGTGTTTTTTTTTTTTTTGTTTTTTTTTGTGTGTGTGTGGCTTTTTTAAACCTGGGTCTGGTGACATTCTGAGATTTCTTGACCCGAGTTCTGGTTGATGCTGACACTTGTAGAATGAGAGGGGAAAGGATCCGGGCGTTGGAAATGGGGCGTTTGTAACGCCGAGGACGTTAAAGCCCGCTGCCGGCTTAAGCCCCGGCTTTCGTTTCCTTCCCCACGCGATTCTGGAAGTGCCCGCTGCGGGGTGTTGGAACGGCCTGGGAGCGGAGGGAGGACCGAGGACTCCAAACACAGGGGAGGCATCAGCGTGGGCACGGGGGCGTTTAACTGTGTGTGTGTGTGTGTGTGTGTGTGTGTGTGTGTGTGTGTTGGCAGGCAGTCTCTGGATTTGACCTCATCGGGCTCATTTATTTAATGGCAGTATTCGTTTTCATTCATTTCATTTAGCAAGCATGCTGTTGAGCCCTACTGTGTGTTCTCCTAACACTACCCGCTTTCTTTCCCAAAGCTCAGAGGTTCAGGAAGCTGCATGGCACTTTGGCAAAGGTCCAACCTTTATTTTATTTTTTAAAGTGACTTGAATAAATACAAGTAAGGATGGACATGCTCATTTTAAAACTTGGAATCTTTTCCCCTTTCATTCAGCAAATAATTAGGTGCCCAGGAGCCGTGAGCGAGGCTGAGACAGCCCTTGCCCTCTTGTAGCTTCCAGTCTGGAGGGAAATACACGTTTGTTTAATTATCTGTGTAACTTGGGAATTACAGCTGTGATAAATGCTAAGAAGGAAGTGTTGGGGACCTTGCCTGGTCAGGTGCTAGGGAAGTCTTTAATTGGACATAATTTGCAAATAAAACTTAAAAAGCCCTCCTCCTCCTTTTTGCTTACATTTAAAGTGGTTACTTCTAATAAGCTTTTGAATTATGTTCATGAGCAAGTTGTTTTTCTTTTCAAGTTAGTCATCAAACTAAATTCTTAGGCTTTATAACCTTGAAATGGGCACATATGTATGAAAATTTGCTGTCTCATTGCTGTGTATGGGATAAGTAAATAAAGTTTGAGAGCCTCCTTTCCACTCACCTGGAGTTGCATTTCTTTACATCCACTGGACCTAGTGAAGTTTCTTCAGTGAGATCCAAAAAGTTTGGTTTTTAATATAACTACATGTAATTTTGCTAGATGATGATAATATTGGATTTACAAATTAAATGAACAATTTTAAACTAAAACCAGTGATACAAGATTTAGGCCTAAAAATGAACAACAACAAAAAACAATTTCTATAAAGTATTGCTCCTAAAATTCTCATTTTCTAAATGTTTACATGAAGATAACTTTTCCAAAAGAACTGAGTAGTCTTTCACTTTAAAGATTTCAAAACTGCCTTCTGTAATTTCAGAGGTCTATATTAATGTATCCTAATCCCTGTTACAATTTTTATTCCCTTCTTCAAGTCTTCACCATTCTGACAATTCTGTAGTTTCCTCTTTATATATTGGGAGTATTTTTAAAAATAAATTTAAAAATTTTATTTATTTTTTAGATATTTTAAATCTTCACCTGAGGATATGCTTTTATTGATTTTAGAGAAACCATGGGAGAGAGAAAGAGAGAAACATCAATAGGGTGTCCTGTACTCACCCTGACTGGGGATAGAACACAAAACCTTTTGGTGTACGGGATGGTGACCCTCCAATCATCCAAGGCTGAAAGATTTTAATTTTGAAACTTTTTGTTTTAAATAACAGAAGATGCACACCTTGAAATAAAAACTTCAAAAGCAAAACTTTGGGTAGAGAATCCTTTCTTTCAACTCCTTTTATTTTATTTTTTTATTTTATTTTTTATTTTTTATTTTTTTTAAATATGGAACGCTTCACGAATTTGCGTGTCATCCTTGCGCAGGGGCCATGCTAATCTTCTCTGTATCGTTCCAATTTTAGTATATGTGCTGCCGAAGCGAGCACTCTTTCAACTCCTTTTAGAAAATTTTTTTTTTCTCAGATATTTTTTCTCTCTGTCGTCTACTTGTTAAATGTAAGACATCCACAATTTTCTGGAGGCTTTTAGTAAGGCTAATTAATTTTTTAACATATCCTAGTGTAAAAAAAAACTAGATGTTAACCCAGTGCTAAATTCTCATGGCATCATTAATTAAACCTTGTTAAAAGGTTGTAGTTTTATTTTTCAACTTGTTGTTATTCTGCAAATGCAATACTGGGTTTTTAAAATATCTTCTGATCTCTCCCAATCTTAGTTTTTTGATTGTGTTGAAAATTAAGTCTATTTTTAAATTTTTAGTTACGAAATACTTACTGCATATAGGAAATAAAGGATGGCATAGTTCTTACATATTTTTAATTTTTATGTATTGTGTCAAAATAATACTTATTGTTTACTTATAATGTTATTAGTTAATTGGGAAGTTTTATAAAACTCAAGTCTATTTTGCATTTTAATTAGTGACAATTTTGATATTTTATTTTAGATTACTTGATCTTTTAATATCAGCCTTCAAATTCAAAGTTCAGCTCCATGTATTAAATATATGTATGTGGAAAAAATGTTACCATTGTATTTCCTATTTATAAGATAATTTTTATAGTTTTCAAATTCATTTTTTCTGGAAGCAGCTCTGGGGAAATATTAAGGTGGAATGAGAAAATTAAATGTTATTGTCCTGCTTTTATGTTATAACTCAAATGAGGCCATTGTCTTCTACTCTTTCATAATTGCTACACACACACACACACACACACACACACACACACACACCAGCTCAATGCTTTTACATATTGTTCATAATTAGTAAATATCAGATGACTGATATTGAGCTGCTGTACATTCTCATATCTGTAGCGCTTCTGAGAAAATACCCTATTTTGAGCAAGTTTTGAATTTAAAACTTCGGGTATTAAAAGCTAGCTAGGAGCCCTAGCCAGTTTGGCTCAGTGGATAGAGTGTTGGCCTGTAGACTGAAGGATCCCAGGTTTGATTGCTGCCAATGGCATATGCCTAGGTTGCAGACTTGATCTCCAGCAGGGGATGTGCAGGAGGCAGCCAATCAATGGTTCTCTCTCATCTCCCTTTCTGAAATCAATAAAAGAAACACACACACACACACACACACACACACACACACATATACATACATACATACATACATACATACATATATACATACATACATAACTAGGAGCCCTGGCTGGTATGGCTCAGTTTGACTGGGTGTCATCGGCTCAGTTCCCTGTCAGGGCACATGCCTGGGTTTCAGGCTGGATCCCCAGTAGGGGGCCTGCAGGAAGCAGCGGATCCATGTTTCTCTCTCACACCCATGTTTCTCTGCCTCTCTTCCTCTCCCTTCTCTCTAAAAATCAATAAAACTTTTTTTCTTTTTCTTTTAAGAAAGCAGATAAAAATCCCAACTCATGTTAGCTAACAATATGGCATTGGGGATACAGCGTGAAGAAAATAGATAAAAACTCCCTCTCACATGAGCTAACAACACAGTAAGAAAGAGTACAGAATAATCAAAAGTAGTTGTGAGATCTAAATTTGGAGAATACAATTTTGATTAGGAAGTTAGGGAAAGCCTCGTTATGGACATGAGTCAAACTGAGGCTGAAATGATGAATTAGTTAGGTTAAGGATACTTGATCTAGGTCAAGAAGGAGAGTGGCAAATTTGATGAATTTGGATCAGTTGAGGCATGTGTGGCTGGAGAGATGGATAGAGGCAAATAATTTGTAGGCCATGTGAGGAAATTGTGTGTGTGTGTGTGTGTGTGTGTGTAAAATAACATTTCAGCCCAGCCAGTGTGTCTTGAGTATGGGCCTATGAACCAGGAGGTCATGGTTCAATTCCCTGGTCAGAGCACATGTCCAGATTCCAGGCTTGATCCCCCGTAGGGTGTTTCTACCTCTCCCTTCCTATCTGAAATCAATAAACATATATATATATATATATATATATATATATATATATATATATATATATATATAAACTATTTCACTGAAGTAAACGTTAGCTATATAAAAGTGCACAAGTATGTGTATAGCTGGATGAATTTTCACAAAGTGAACATACCTGGGTATAATCACTCGGCTAAAAACAAACAGAACACGACTAGCAGCACCCAGAAGTTCTCTTTGTGCTTTCTCCAACCAGTTCCTGACTTCTAGAACTATAATGGGTGTTACATTTTTTTTTTTTATTCAATAAATGGAATCACAGAGTGTGTATTTTTGTGTCCAGCCTCTTTCCCCTGACATATGTGTGAGATTCGTGCTTGTGGCGGTTACATTCCATTGCTCACTGTATGAATATAGACCAAATTTATATCCATTCTCTTGTTGATGTATATTTGGATGTTAACTATTTGGGGCTATTGTGAACAGTGATGGTTGTGAACATTCTTATACTGTCTCCTGGTTCATGTATATGAATTTCTGTTGGGTATAATAGATATCTAGAGGTGTAATTGGTGGGTCATGGGATATGTTTAGCTTTACCAGAGAATGCCACCTATTTTTAAATCGATGTTCCCATTTATACTATCACCAGCACACTAAAGGATTTTAAACAGAATGATGATCAGATTTATGTTTTTAAGAGATCACTCTGGATGTTAGGGCAGAGTAAAAGGGGATATAGGAAATAGGAGAGGAGATTGTTCTCTGTAAATTTTTTTAAAAGAACAGAAAACTAGCTTTTGTAAATGACAAAAATAATCCACAACTAAATCTGATTATTGGAGTTACTAATGGATTTTGTATTACTAGTATGCTTTGACAATCAAAAGCAATTGATCTTTGTCTCTTATAGTCTGTCATATTCAGGATTTACAGAACAAGGCATATATATTTTCTTTGGAAAAATTCACAGAAATTTAATTTTTCTCTTCCATTAGACCCAGTTTTATTCCAAGGGCTTACACAATGTAACACTTCTTGCTCAGTCTTATATAGAAGTAGATTTTACAGAAAGAAGTACACCATAATAACTTATCTGGATTTGTACAAGTAATTTGGATTTATGGGTTCTGCTATAATGAAAGAACCTTATAGAAGTATAACTAAAGATGACTTCTCCATCCAGATTTTTAGATTTCTAGTATGTGTATTTGGTTATTTATAGTGATTGTGTGTGTAAATGATTGAAATTATGGCATGCTTAAATTTATATAGTTTTTGTCTTTTTATTGTAAGAAATTTAACATGAATTTATCTTAAATTATTTAGTATACAGTACTAACAGTATTTACATTATTGTGTTAAACTTAAATTCTTATTTCTTATGAATTCACAGATTTACAGTCCCTTTAACTGTAGGTCATAGGTAATTAAATTTGAATTATAAAACATAGCAACGGACAAAACATGATCATTATGAGGATTTTTCTTTTATTTCAGAGTTTCCTTGGCGGCTTTTTTGGTCCCATTTGTGAGATTGATGTTGTCCTTAATGATGGGGAAACCAGGAAAATGGCGGAAATGAAAACTGAAGATGGCAAAGTAGAAAAACACTATCTTTTCTATGATGGGGAATCTGTTTCAGGAAAGGTAAATTGTTTGTTTGTAGGCTTCTAGAATTAGTCACCAAAGTGGTATCTGCTGTTTCTAAATGTGAATGACCTTTTAGAGATGGAGTTCTTTTTTCGGAGATCCAGCCAAAAACCTTGCTTTATTAAAGAATATTTATAAGAAAGATATTTAAACTAGAAAAGTTACAGCAACAGAGTTTAAATTAAATTGTGTGCAGAATTTGTGTTGGTGACTATCTGCTTCTGACAGTTTCTCCAATGGGAGTGCAATCCATGCAAAATTTGTTGAGTTATAGAGATTAAGAATAATTCCCTAGTATACCTTTCTAAATGTTTCTAATTCTTTGTAGCTTATCTCTCTGTACTCCACCATTGTATCTCTCATTTCTTGATACCCTGGGGAGGAGTATTTTGGAATGTGTCTCTGCATGGTCAGATATATTTATAATACCTCCTATAAGATTTCACTTTCCTTTTCCTTATCAAATAATGTATAAGATTATTTTAAAAATATATATATTTTATTGATTTTTGAGGAAGAGAGGAAGAGAGAGGGATAGAGAGTTAGAAACATCGATGAGAGAGAAACATCGATCAGCTGCCTCCTGCACATCCCGGGATGTGTCTGCAACCAAGGTACATGCCCTTGACTGGAATCGAACCCGGGACCTTTCAGTCTGCAGGTCGATGCTCTATCCACTGAGCCAAGCTGGTTTCGGCAAGATTCTTTTTTTTTTTTTTTTTTTTTTTTTTTTTTTAATGTATAGAATTCTTATACCTTAGTGCACATGTGTCAAACACAAGGCCCGCGGGCCAAATCCGTCCCGCCAGGCCTTGCAATGTGGCCCGCACCGCGCTGTCATCACTGCACTCCGCTGCGTTTCCATCACAATGACAGTTTATGACTGTTCAGTAAACCATTCGGCCCGTGATTTAGGCTGGATTTTAGATTTTGGCCCCTTCTCTGATTGAGTTCGACACCCCTACCTTAGGGAATCAATAGTCATTAGTCTATGATACTTATGAATGGTAATATAGACAAAGTCAAGTCATAAAACACTTGAAATAGTTTTGTTTTTTTTTTTAGTATAAAATAATGAGAGGTTTTTCTTCCCTGCTTATTAAAGTAATATAGACACATATTAAACAATTTGGAAAATAAAATAACTATAATGCCATCATCTGGGAAAAAATCCACTGTTAAAATTTGTGCTTCTTCCTAGTCTCTGCATTAATTAATGTTTCTAGCTCTCTATCCCTCTCCCTTCCTCTCTGTAAAAATCAATAAAATATATATTTTTAAAAAAGTATCACTGAGTTGGTGTTAAAACTCTTTAGCCCAGTTCACCCTCATAATTTCACTTATTTTTCTATGCTCCATTGCAGAATAGCTTTTAAGCCAGTTTACTTAATTTTGCCTTTCTATTTTGGGATTCTTCAGATTCCTCTATAGCTTGAATTAGGCTTAAAATATATATAAAGCCATTGACTGTAATGCCGGAACGACTGCTATGATGCCCACTGCACCAGTGAACCCAGCCCGATTGGGGGTTGGGGCTGGCCTGCAAACCCTTGGCAGCCCCAAGCCTAGGCCAGCCCTGCTGCCCAGCGGGGACCCCCGACCACCCTGATTAGGGTCGTGGCCAGCCTGCAAAGCACCTGTAGCCCTTCAACCAAGCTGGCCCCACCCCCAGTGGGGACTCCCACCCTGATTGGGGCATGGTCTGCTTGGGCAAGGGGCTGTGGGCAGTTTGCAGGCCAGCCACGCAACCAATAAGGGGAGGGGGTCTCCGCTGGGGGCAGGGCCAGCCTGCAAACCCCCGGTTGCCCCTCGTCCAAGCTGGCCCTGCCCCCCCAGCAGGGACCCCTTACATCGATTCAGAGCTCCCACATGTGCACCAGACCTCTTTCCTATGTAATAGAAGAGTAATATGCACATTCACCCTAATGGCAGAATGACTGCTGGACCAGTCACTATGAGGCACACTGACCACCTCTTGGTCTCTTTCCCCCGCTGGCAGGTTCCGATTGCCTGATGGCCATCCGCAGAAGGGGCGGGCTGGAGAGCGAGCAGGAACAGCTAACCTTTCAGTCCCTTCCCCTGCTGTCAGGCACTGATCATCCCATGGCGCTCAGTGCAGCAGCTGTCCCCTGGTGGTCAGTGCGCTCCCACAGGGGGAGCGCTGCTTGGCCAGAAGCCGGGTCACAGCTGGCGAGCGTAGTGGTGGTCGTAGGAGTCTCTCCTGCCTCTACTGTAGGCGGGTGGTAAGGGATGAGGGGTCCCAGACACACACACACACACACACACACACACACACACACACAAACACACACACGGGGAAAAACCCTGGAGAACTACCAAGAAGGAAACAAAATTATAATCCAAAAGTAGCTGCTGTTAAGAGAATTTGTTTTCTGTGGTTTTAAAAAATATAATTGGCATTATAGTTGTATACAGTTTGACCATGCTTCCTTCATGTAACATATCATGCACATCTTCCCACATCATTAAAAATTCTTTGACCATATTATTTTTAAACTTTAATAATATTTCATTATATGATGTACCACAATTTAATTATTTTTTTCCTGAGACATTAATTTGGAAGGCAGGTAACTAACTCATCCTAGTTACAAATATGAAAGATATGGAAGAGGGATTATTTTAATTTACATAGTTTATAATAAGTAATTGGACCTCTTTTTTTTTTTATTGGTCCTCGATTTCCATTATCTTTTGAGAAGGATTGTTGGGGAAAAAAAGCATTAAAGAGTCACATTACCAATATTTTCTATAGTAAAGAAAATGTTTTTATTAGTTAATCCTTAAACATTTGGACTTTTAATATGCATGCTTGCACTTTACAGATATTTGGTCAAATTAAGATTTTATAAAATTAATATTTTTAATAAAATGAAAGGTATAACCTGTTCCAGAATTGGGCATGTGTTGTTATAAACGTAGGCTAGTGATATATAGCAAATAATAAAACTTAAAATGTGTTCCATTTGTGAAAAAAATTAAGATTTTCATTTGGCAAATATGAATTCAGGGATTTTGAGATTATATATTTTACCTCATAAGCATGTAAAACAAATCATATTCAAAATTTAAATCTTTAGACATTACTAGTATGTTTTTAAGATGAGTAGCAGACAGAACAGAAGCATTGCTTTTAAAGTTAGGAATTAACCTATATAATAAAAGCCCAGTGACCAAATGGTGGATCGACCAGAATGACTGCTCAACCAGTCGTTATGACACACACTGACCACTAGGGGGTAGACAGTGCAGGAGCTGCTGCCTGGTGGTCATTGCACTGCCACATTGGGAGTGCCACTTGGCTGACTGGGATAAGTGGCTGCTCCCACTGCAAACCCTGGGCAGATGGGCAGGAACCGGGGCTGCCATTGTCACCTCCTTGTCCAAGGTTCCTCCTCCCCTCTCCCTGCTGCCTCCTCTGGATGCCTGAAGGCCGTGCAGAGCTGCCTCTGGGCTCATGGAGCTGACCCTGGAGGCTTGGAGTTGGGTTGCTGGCTGCCATGGGACTGAAGCCTACTCCGCTGCCTCTCAATGCTATTGTCCCTGGGCCCGGCCCTGACTGGGTTCCCTGGAAAGGCGAGTGCTCTGGCTCCACAAAGATGCTAGATCAGGGAGCAGCTGCCCAGGGGGCGGGTCCACAGCTGCTTGGATGACCGGGATGAGTGGCCGTCCCACAGCGGGCAATTCCTGCAGGCCATACCCCCACCCGTGCATGAATCCCGTGCACCGGGCCTCTGGTAGCAAAATAATCTTGGTTACAAAAAGCTGAAAGTGATCTTTTAGATCAATTCTTGGAGTTAATGATTACCTTACATTAAAATGCTTTTGTTGTAGGATTGTATAACTATTTGACTAGAAAACACATTGGAATAGTTGAAAGTTCCCCCCTTTTTTGATTAAATATTTATAGTTCTCCAGATATAAGGATTCCTTCCCAAAAATGCAGATATTCTAAGGGTATATGTAATAGGTTCATTAGTGATTGTATCTGAGTAAGTTATATGTTCTGTGCTCATGATTTAGGTTGGTGTCTCAAACTTCAGAAATAAATACCTGAAATTCTTAAGCATTGCTTTCATCTGGAAGGAATCAATTAGTAGGCCCATTCAAAGGATTAACATCTCGTACAATTTCATGTTTTGGCAGGTGAACCTAGCCTTTAAGCAACCTGGAAAGAGGCTAGAACACCAAGGAATTAGAATTGAATTTGTAGGTCAAATTGGTGAGTTGTAAAATAGTATTACTTTTTTTTCTTTGAGTTTGAAGAGGATTGGAGATAGCACTTAAATAATTGAATTAGATTTTAGCTTTGTAGAAGGAATTGATTTTATATTATAAAAGGAATTATTTTATAAACATCAAATCATGTTTCTTTCAATTGTTTGACTTATCTGCTTTTATTGTTAAAATTAATTACTAAACATGAAAGGAGTTATGTAATCTACCAGCCTTGAAAAATAATTTAGCTAAATTATTTGACTCATTGAAATTTGTATCTGCCTCAATTTTTTTCACCAGCTTTACTCACAATTATGTGTCACCTTCATCCATCACTTTCCAATTACCCATGCCATTTGTCTTCCTAATCTAGTGTTTGCCTGTAGCCACTCATTTGTCAACAGAAAATTCTGTGAGAAAGGAAAGATGTAGTTTCTTATTGACCTAGATTAACTTGTGTACATTTCCATACATATATTTTAGAGACATTCTTGATTTAGCAATATAACTAAATTTTTGGTGCTGCAGGTTCAGGAAAGAGAAAATAGGTCTTTATAATACTGTATATATAGCTAGGTTTTAAATCTTAAGTTTTATTGTATATTTTTAAAATGTCATATTTGGAATGGATGAGTGCTTATTCACATCTATTCTTGATGAGATTATACTTGAGCAAATTATAATAATTAACTGATAGTTGATTTTAGTTTTTTGTATATTATAGTTTTTATCAATTTGCCTAACAAAGCAAAAGAATAAAACACTTTTTGCCCCGAAGGGAGGAAGTTCAAATAATTGCTGGAAATTTATCTTAAGTTAGCTTCATATTGGGCAAACTCTCACTACATTAAAGGAATGAATTTATTTGCTTTGGAGGTAGAAATTTGGGTTTTAATGAAATTATACTAAATATAATTGGTCTTTTGCTTTTTAAAATTCCTTAGAACTTTTCAATGACAAGAGTAATACTCACGAATTTGTAAACCTAGTGAAAGAACTAGCCTTACCTGGAGAACTGACCCAGAGCAGAAGTTATGATTTTGAATTTATGCAAGTTGAAAAGCCATATGAATCTTACATCGGTGCCAATGTCCGCTTGAGGTATGAATTAGGTGTATTAGGAACTATAGACAGAGTCAAAAACTACAAAATAATGGTTGCTGCTGAATGTCTTAATAGAACGTCTGTTATAATTCTGGACTTTTAAGGTTTTTAGAAATTTTGTCAAATATTTTGTTTTGTCTGACTAATGCTAATCTTCTGAGATAATAAGAGCCCTCTATCATTATAGATTTAGAGGACCCCATTATGAGAAGTCTTATTCATATATTTCCTTTATATGAATTGTTCCTTAGGTACTTTATTTGTTGTGTAAATGGATTACCCTCTAAATCCATTAGTTTCCCAATAGATCATTTACTGTATGATTAAGGAGTGGTCCAATAGGCTTGATGCTAGCACTCCAAATTCATCTAAAAAGTATGTACACTAGTTTTAAAATTGAACTGTTGTCTTTCGTTTTGTTTTCATGGTGGGGGCATTTATTTAAAAATTAGAATTCCTTCATGAAATAAATGAAGTTGATCCCAAAAGAGTTCTAACAAGGAGAAAGCTGAGTAAACAATTAATTTTTGTTTTGTTTTTAAATACTGAAACTTATCATAGGAGATTTAACTTGACTTTTCTATTAACTTCATAGGTATTTTCTTAAAGTGACAATAGTAAGAAGACTGACAGACTTGGTAAAAGAATATGATCTTATTGTTCACCAGCTTGCTACCTACCCTGATGTTAACAACTCTATTAAGATGGAAGTGGGCATTGAAGATTGTTTACACATAGAATTTGAATATAATAAATCAAAGTAAGTACTTTTCACAAACAGATAGCTTAAATGTTCAGGGGAAATTAAAAAGTAGCTTTTCAGGTTTTTGTAAATTGGTCAAAATGAGGGTAGAATTGACATTAATCTGCTGTTAACAGACCAACAGAAACTCTGAGCCGAAATAAACTTCAGTAGGAGTTTGTTCTGGCTTCTGACTCAGTGCAAGTGTCTTTCATATTCTATTCCTAATAAATTTCCACCTGGTCATTTTTTATAGAGCATCTTACGATCTCAGAAGGTAGCTAAACCTTATGTCTAAAATTTTATTTTACTGGCCTGACATCACTTTAGCCTGATCATCTTTAAAACTAAATAAAAATACATTTTTTCTGACAACATAATAAATATATTGTCATTATTGAAAATTTTGATAATGTGGGGAAAGTCAAAGGAAATAAAAATATCACAAATTTTCACTTTTACCATTTAACCACAATTAATATATTCTCATATATTTTTTCCATGTAAAAGGGAGAGGTATATATGTTTATATATGTTGTATTTTTATAGAAATGTTTTAAAATATATATATATAATTGATTTCAGAGAGGAAGGGAGAGGGAGAAATAGAAACATCAATGATGAAAATCATTGATTGGCTGCCTCCTGCCTGCCCCTACTGGGGATTGAGCCCACAAGCCAGGCATGTGCCCTTGATTGGAATTGAACCCAGGACTCTGAATCCATAGGCTGACACTCTGTCTACTGAGCCAAACTGGCTAGGGCTGGGCTCTTATAGTTTAATGCCTTTTTAAGCTTTATGATGGAAATTTTCAAACACATACCAAAGTATCTGAACAGTATAATGAATCCTCATGTATCCATTGTCCAGCTCCAACTATTCAGATTTGTTTTGTCTGTATTCAGCCCCACACACCCATTATATTATATAGCAGCATATTCCAGACATAAAATTTCTCCCATAAAAATTATGTATCGGCCGAAACCGGTTTGGCTCAGTGGATAGAGCGCCAGCCTGCGGACCAAAAGGTCCTGGGTTCGATTCCAGTCAAGGGCATGTACCTTGGCTGCGGGTACATCCCCAGTAGGGGGTGTGCAAGAGGCAGCTGATTGATGTCTCTCTCATCGATGTTTCTAACTCTCTCTCTCTTCCTCTCTGTAAAAAATCAATAAAATATATTTTTAAAAAAATTATGTATCGCCCTGGCTGGTTTGGCTCAGTGACTAGATCGTTGGCCTGCGGATTGAAGGGACCTAGGTTCAGTTATGTTCAAGGGCACATGCCCGGGTTGCAGGCTTGATTCCCAGTAGGGGGCGTGTAGGAAGCAGCTAATCAATGATTCTCTTTCATCATTGATATTTCTACCTCCCTCTCTGAAATAAAAAAAAGGGAAAAAAAGCTAGATTTAAAAATTATCATTTTTAATGTAACTATATTTTTATTTCTAAAAAAAAAAAAAATAATTCATTAATATTTTCACATTCCCAGTCAGTGTTCACATTTCTGTAAATTGTCTCATGCAGGGTTTGTTCAAATCAGTGTTCAAACAAGATTTGTTCTATCCAAACACATTGAATTTGGTTGGTTTGCTCTGAAATCTAATTTATAGGTTTCCCCCTATTTTTTTCATTGAAGTTTATTTGTTGAAGAAATGGATGTATACACTCTTTTATCTCCTTCCTGCATACTCTTCTCTCACATGGTTTTTATTAATTGTCACTCCCCAGTTTGTTTGTTTTTTAAAGAATTGTCTTTGCAACTTTGACAATCAATTGACCATGTTTATTACTAGTGTTCCAGTACATGTTTGTGTAATATTAGAGTGTTCAGAAAGGGAGAGAGAGGGTGAGAGAGAGAAACATCAATGAGGAGAGAGCTTCATTGATTGGTTGCCTCCTGCACACCCCTTACTAAGGATTGAGCCTGCAACCAGGGCATGTGCCCCGACCTGGAATGGAACTTGGGACCCTTCAGTTCACAGGCTGATGTTCTATCTACTGAGCCAAACCAGCTAGGGCCACTCCCCAGTTTTTATCACTGAAAATGTGATATATATCAGAATCTTTTTAAAAAAATATATATTTTATTGATTTTTGTACAGAGAGGAAGGGAGAGAGATAGTTAGAAACATCAATGAGAGAGAGTCATCGATCAGTTGCCTCTTGCACACCCCCTACTGGGGATATGCCCGCAACCAAGGTACAACTCCTTGACCGGAATCGAACCCGGGGCCCTTCAGTCCCCAAGCCGACGCTCTATCCATTGAGCCAAACCAGTCCCCGCTCTTTCAGAATCTTAAATTATGTTGTTGATAAAATTATTAGATAGTTTAGGACCTAAAAACTTGTCACTAGGGGCCTTCGTTCAGGCTGACATAATTGCATTAGTTAACTCCTGGGATGATATTTGGGAGAAGGCTTATAAAGACCTCTGGATATTGTAGGAATTCCCATTTTATTACCACTTCATTTCAAGGTACTTGGGAAAGATCTTTTTTAAAAACATGTTTTATTGATTTTTTAGAGAGAGGAAGGGAGAGGGATAAAGAGTTAGAAACATTGATGAGATAGAAACATCAATCAGCTGCCTCCTGCACATTCTCCACTGGGTATGTGCCCGCAATCAAGGTACATGCCCTTGACTGGAATCGAACCTGGACCCTTATTTCTGCTGGCTGACTCTCTATCCACTGAGTCAAATCGGTTAGGGCAAAAGATCTTTGATTATTAAACGAGGCCAGGTGATTTGTTAGCTACACTATTCTAGCACTCAGAGTAACAATGACACTAAACTCTTGTGTACAGTTTTTGTTCAAAAACATCTTCATACACCAAATTAATACTTCAAGTATCAGAATCTTAGTTTTCCATGCTTAAGTTCTTTGGAAACTAAGTTAATTTCTGGGTAAGGAACAGTAATCAGGCTAATTCTTCCTTTTGAGATGTATTGAAGTCAAGTAAAAGTTTGATTCCTTATTTTTATAGTACAGTTATGTGCTGCATAACATTTTGGTCAGCAACACACCTCATGTACAACAGTGGTATACCATAAACCTCAGTGTGTAGGCTATGCCATCTAGGTTTGTGTAGTGCACCCTATGATGTTTGCACAGCAGAGTCCCCTAATGATGTGTTTCTTAGAACATTTCCCCATCATTAAGCAGTGCACACTGTAAAATGATTAACACTTTTTTGAAAAAGAGGAACATTAAACAATATGAATAGTCAAAATGGTATTCTTACATAGCTATTAATCTAGAGATGTCTAATAAAGGCTTTCAGGACTTATTTTACTAGTTCTCTTTGTTTTTTTAAATATTTGTATAAGTGAGATATATTCTTTCTCCAAAGGTATCATTTAAAGGATGTGATTGTTGGAAAAATTTACTTCTTATTAGTAAGAATAAAAATCCAACACATGGAGTTACAACTGATCAAAAAAGAGATCACAGGAATTGGTAAGTTGAAGGAGTATTTGAATGAAAATTCCTGTTTAGTTGAAGTTTTAAAATCTTAAAATATTATTTGAACATAAAATTCATATTAGATATTATCTTTGATAATATTGCTGGCAGTAAGTCACTCATTTATGTTTTTTTTAATTTGATTTTTGAATACAGTAGTTCTCCCTTATCCATGGGGAATACATTTTAACTAATTAATTCATTAATTATTATTAATCCTTCCCTGAGGATGTTTTCCATTGATTTTTAGAGAGTGGAAAGGAAGGTGGGGGGAGGAGAGAAAGAGAGGGATAGAGAAAGAGACATCAATGTGAGAGAGACAAATTGATTGGTTGCCTTCTGAACATATCCCCACTGGGGCTGGAGATTAAACCTGCAACCCAGGCATGTATCCTTGACGCAGAATTGAACCCACACCCCTTTGGTGCAGGAGTTGACGCTCTAACCAGTGTCCGACACTGGCCAGGGGCTAGGGGATACCTTTGAAGACTGAAGTGGATGCCTGAAACTACAGATAGTACTGAACCCTATATATACTTTGTTTTTTTTTCTATGCATACAGATTTATGGAAAGTTTAATTTATAAGTTAGGCATAGTAAGAGATGAATGATAAAGAAGAACAATTATAACATTATACTATAATAAAATTATGTGAATATGTCTCTTAGAATGTCTTACTGTACAGTATTTACCTTTCTTGTGGTCACATGAGATGCTACAATGCCTATGTGATGGGATGAAGTGAGCTGAATGATGTAGGCATGGTGACATAGTGTTAAGTACTATACGGTTTACTTGAACACAAGCACTGCAACACCAAGCACTGCCTGTGTGTGTACCTGTGTACTAAGTGATGAACAGGCAGCTTATATAGCGTGGATACAGTGGACAAAAATGATTCATGTCCCAGGCAAAATGGAATGGGACTGCATGAGATTTCATCATGCTACTCAGAACAGCGAGCAATTTAAAACTTATGAATTGTTTATTTCTGGAATTTTCCAATATTTTTGGACCATGGTTGACTGCACGTAACTAAAAACAAATTCACATAGTTTAAAAATAAAGTATAAGACACTGTTCAGTAAAAACTGTCCTATTTTTGTACTCCAGCTACTCAGGTAATACATTTATAAGTTTTTAAATCCTTCTAGACTTCCTTTTTGCCCAACATTTTATCGTAGCAGCTGCTTTTCTGGTTTTGCTATGCAGCCCAAGGAAAACAAGAAGAAAGATGCTAGAGAGTTGGCGAAGAAAGCAAATCTGGGGCAAGGCCCAAAGAAATGGTCCAAAGGCAAAGTTCCACCCAAGCTCAATAACCTCGTCTTGTTTGACAAAGTGACATATGACAAACTCTGTAAGGAAGTTCCCAACTATAAGCTTATAAGCCCACTGTTAGCTCTTGAAAGACTGAAGATCCAGGATTTCTTGGGCCAGGGCAGCCCTTAAGGAGCTCCTTAGTAAAGGATTTATTAGTTTCTCGCCCTTAACCTTTACTCAGTTAAGCAAAGGTTGCAGGTTCGATGTCCCGTCAGGGCACATACAAGAAGCAATCAATGAATGCATAAATAAGTGGAACAGCAAATCAATGTCTCAACCCCCCCCCCCCCTTTCCCCTTCTCCCCACCCACCTCCCTTCTCTTTATAAAAATCAATAGCACAAACAATGATCTAGTTTCAAATCACAGCTCAAGTAGTTTACACCAGAAACACCAAAAGGGGGATGTCCCAGCTGCTGGTAAAGATGCATGAACAACAGATTCGTCTCACCAGCTATACATTTTGAAAAATAAAACTTAATTAAAGAATCCCTTCTATTTATGCATTTATATGGAAGTTCCTCTGTATTATAGCCCCCCATTTCAGTTAAATGGTTACATACAGTACACTCTTGCTTTTTCACTTAATAATGTACCTTAGAGATCTTCCATATCAATACATAAGAAAGAACACTTCATCTTTTTTTATAGTATTCCATTCGGTGTATGTACTAGTATTTAACCACTCTGCTATTGGTATGCATACAGGTTGTTTCCAGTCTTCTGTTATTACAAAAAGTGCTTCAGTTAATGTCATTTTGCCTGTGTGTGTATATGTGTGCATAAGATAAAATCTTAGAAGTGGAATTGCTATTTCAAAGAGGATTTTCATTTTTAATTTTGATACACAATACCAATTTGCCCTCTTTAGGGTTGTAACAATTTGTATCTGCCAGCAATGAATGTAGGGAGTGCCTTCCCCCCACCCCCTATTCTCACCAGCACAAGGTTATAACATTTTTAGCTGATCTCATGGGAAGGGGGAAGAAGTTTTTCATTGTTATTTGAATTTAACTTTCTTATTCAGGGTGAGGGTGAGCATCTTTCATATGTATAAAAGCCATTTGTATATCTTCTATAAACTGCCTATCCATATCCTTTGTTCCATCTCCATTGGATTATTAGTCTTTTCATATTTATAGAAACTATATATTAGGGAAATCAATATATTTTTCTGTTAAGAGCAGAAAAAAAAAATCTCCCCAGATTATCTTGCTATGGTGCTTTATGCCATGTAGAAGTTCTTAATATTTATTTAGTTTATTATGTTTTCTTTTTATGGACTCTGGGTCTTATGACAGTCCTTTTTCACACTGAGGTTCAAAGAATTTTCTTAGCTTGATTTTACTAAAATAATATAATTTAGGGATTTTATTTAAGTTGATAAATCATTTGGAATTTGTCTTGATGTAAGCTATGAAGTATGGATCCAACTTTACTTTTTCCAGATGGCTAACCAGTTGACCCAAGTCACTTATTGATTCATAAACTTTTTTTTATTTTGTTTAGTATATAGATTTAGTTTGTCCCCTTTAGTTTTTTGGCTGAAAATAATTTTAGGTAACACTTTTTAAGAATGTATAATTGGTAATCATAATGATAAACATTTATGATTTCTTAATCTCTATGTTTCACTTGCTAATAAACATTACAGTTATTGCCCTAAGTGGATAGAGCGTCAGCCTTTGGACTGAAGGGTCCCAGGTTCAATTCTGGTCAAGGGCATGTACCTTGGTTGTGGGCACATACTCAGGGGAAGGTGTGCAGGAGGCAGCTGATCGATGTTTCTCTCTCATCGATGTTTCTAAGATCTCTCTCCCTTCCTCTCTGTAAAAAATTAATAAGACATCTTTTTTTTTAAAGAAAGTTAGTTATTTAAAGACATTAAAACCAAACTTCAAGTTCCCATTTGTTGTTTTAAAAATTGTTTATTGAAACATTTTTTCTGAGTATAAAAATTGTTTGATTCTAGAAAAATTTTAAAAAATAATATATAGTCATAATCCAGAACAGACTTTAGTCTTTGCATGTGTGGCTCAGTGATTGAGCGTCAACCTATGAACCAGGAAGCCACCATTTGATTCCTGGTCAGGGCACATGTCCGGGTTGTGGGCTCGATCCCCATTGTAGTGTGTGCAGGAGGCTGCCGATCAATGACTCTCTCTTATCATTGATGTTTCTCTCTCTCTCTCCCTCTCCTTTCTTCTCTGAAATCAATTTTAAAAAAAAGGTCAACATTTTCACAAAATAGAAAGATAAATTAGTACTAAAATGTAGTAGGAAAATGAGAAGAACTGGAAATTATATTATGGAAATATTTAATATCATTTACATTATTGTACTAGGACCCAGTACCACAACAGAAACAGAAACAATTGCTAAATATGAAATAATGGATGGTGCACCAGTCAAAGGTAACATTTTTCATTTGTTTCTTTTGTGTTATAGGTAGTGCAAACAGCAGTGTTCATGACAGTTTTGTTTGAAAGTATTTATGTAGTATAAGAATTTTTGTTGGGAAAAAAAGAATCTTGGTGTATTTTTAAGATGATTTTCTTTAATGATGGTTTTCAAGATCATCTTTGTATATATATACTGAGAAGATTATAATAGCACTTTGTAGCCTGAAATAAGGTTTAATTTTTTTGCTGTTTACAGTTACAATTTAGAAGATATGTATATCTTTTCTAGTTCTGAATTTGTAATATTATTATTGTAGTTTGTCATTATAATTCATCTCTGTAAATCTTATTGATTCTTGCTGAACATAAGGTGAAATATAGGTGAGCATTAATTCCTGTGGGATTCTAGAGTCCTTACAGCCCCCCAAATATAAGCAGTTTCATTACTAGATAATCTTCAGTGTGTAAAATAATAAAGCCAATATTTATCATTTTAAATGTATGCCTTTGGCTTTTCTAACTCTGTTAGTAATTACTTCAAAAAGTAGCTATTGTTTATTAAGTGCCAACTACTGCCAGGTGTTCTAAAGTTCCCCGCCACCTTTTGAATTGGGTGGTGGTATTCCTATGTCACAGATGAAACCAAGATGCAGAGAGGTTAAAAAAAACTTGTTAAAGGTGATACAGTATAGGAGAGGCAGAACTTGACTTCTCCCTATCTTAGATTTTTAGCTGGGACTGTTGAACAAAAAGATTACTAAGAGAAGAAGAGAGTTTGCTTACCGTATGCAGTGCACATTGTGCAGGAGAAACTTCAACAAAACATAACTCAAAGTGGTGGCTTAGAATTTCAGTTATAATATAGCATCTTCAGAAGGACAGAACATTTGGACAGCAATGGCTAGACAAAGAAAGTAAATTTTAGGCTTCTAAGGGCGGCAAACTGGGGGAGTGTAAATACATGGGAGGAAACTGATGATTCCTTTGGTGCCATCCCTGGGCTGATGAATCTGTCTCCATTAAGGGGAAATTTGTATCCTGCCTTTAGGCTGAAAAAGGGGAGGCATTTCTGCTTTTGTAGTTTCTTAATTGCCTTAGACTCAAAATAATGTCAGAGGCATATTTTGTGGAGACATTCTGGTTTCCTAATCATTGCAGAGTTGGAGTTTGAGCCCAGTCCTTTCTGACTCCAAGCCCGTGTGTGCTGTTTTCCAGCAGCCACAACTTTTTATATAAAATGATGCGTTTTATATCTCAGGAAATAGATGTGTACAAGAAATGTATTATATAAAAAGATTCCAAACAATATGCAAACAGTTAACCCTAGGAAAAGAGAAGCCATGAGAATCTGAATAGCAACTTTTTAAAAAAATATATATTTTATTGATTTTGTACAGAGAGGAAGGGAGAGAGATAGTTAGAAACATCGATGAGAGAGTCATCGATCAGCTGCCTCTTGCACACCCCCTACTGGGGATATGCCCGCAACCAAGGTACATGCCCTTGACCGGAATCGAACCCGGGACCTTTCAGTCCCCACGCCGACGCTCTATCCATTGAGCCAAACCGGTTTCGGCTGAATAGCAACTTTTTGTTTTGTTTTGTTTTTTGAATAAAGGAATGTCATCATTCTGAACATGTTTGTTACTTTGGATAAATTAGTAATAAGTATACAAGAATTTAAACACATGATTAGAAATTACGGTAAACAGTGAAAACAGAAGATAAAACCACTAAAGCAGCACTTAACCTGCTGGCACTGTTCTAAGACTTTTATATTTGGTGTTAACCCATATACTAGGAGTCTTAACAAATTCTTTGTAAGATGGGTGTTACTGGTTCCCCATTTCACATATGAGGAACTCGAAACAGAATTGTTAAGTAATTTGGTGAAGGCCATGCATCCAGGAAACTATTAGAGTTGGGATTAGAATTTAGGCATTCTGGTGCCAGAACAGTGGTTCTCATCTAGGGCAGTTTTGCCACCATCACCCCTCCCTACTCACTACTCCCACCCTAGTAGATTTGGCAATAGTTGGAGACATTTTTGGTTGTCACATTTGGGAAATGCTGCTGGAATCTTGTGGGTAGAGGCCAGGGATGCTACTAAACCTCTTACAGTGCATAGGACCTTACCCACACCAAAGAATTAACAAGCTCAAAATGTTAATAGTGCCAAAGCTGAGAAACCCTGGTTTAAAGTTTTACTCACGCTGCCCACTCATGAGGAATGGAAGCATTGGTATCTTCTCTATAAAGATTAGTTCTGGTTATGTAACTATATTTAATAATCTTTTAAAATTCAGTGGAAATTGCTTTTCTTTCAGGTGAATCAATTCCAATAAGGCTATTTTTAGCGGGATATGACCCAACTCCAACAATGAGAGATGTGAACAAAAAATTTTCAGTAAGGTACTTTTTGAATCTGGTCCTTGTTGATGAGGAAGACAGAAGGTACTTCAAGCAGCAGGTATGGTGCTACCCAGGCTTGTATTTTGTTCAATGACAGTTATAAAAACACCGGGACAAACTCATTTTTCTAAGTTTTATTATATTGAGCAAGCGGGTTAATAATAAGTGAAAACCTGAGAGTATGGTAAGAAAGTAGGTGTGAATGGAATTGTATTGTGATAGATCTCATCCCAATCATTCGGCAAGACTCTGGAATGGGCTACAATTTAGCAGGGCTTTTATTTTATTTATTTATTTATTTATATTTTTTTGTTTTGTTTTGTTTTTTTAAATATATTTTATTGATTTTGTACAGAGAGGAAGGGAGAGAGATAGAGAGTTAGAAACATCGATGAGAGAGAGTCATCGATCAGCTGCCTCTTGCACACCCCCTACTGGGGATATGCCCGCAGCCAAGGTACATGCCCTTGACCGGAATCGAACCCGGGTCCCCTCAGTCCCCAAGCCAACGCTCTATCCATTGAGCCAAACCAGTCTCAGCTGGGCTTTTATTTTTCTCAAGAGTTTTTTATAAAAGCAATACCCACTATTTGTAAAAACAAACAAAACAAACCCACAAAACAAAAACAGGCAATAAAGAACAAATTGAAGTAAAGGTCATCAAAAATTCCACTTTCATTGTGATTAATATTCCAGACAAAATTATGCATGTGTTTAGAACACATAAAGCATGTTCTTTTCTTTTTCACTCAGCAGTGTCTTGTTGTGATTAGAATTTTTAAAAAAATATATATTTTATTGATTTTTTACAGAGAGGAAGGGAGAAAGAGAGCTAGAAATGTCAATGAGAGAGAAACATCAACCAGCTGCCTCCCGCACACCCCCCACTGGGGATGTGCCCGCAACTCAGGTATATGCCCTTGACCGGAATCGAACCTGGGACCCCCCAGTCCACAGACCAATGCTCTACCACTGAGCCAAACCGGCTTCGGCGTGATTAGAATTTTTAAAAAATATATTTTTATTGATTTCAGAGAGGGAGGGAAAGGGAGAGATAGAAACATCATTGATGAATCATTGATTGGCTGCCTCCTTCACATCTTCTGCAGATCCAGCCCGCAACCTGGGCACATGCCCTTGACCAGAATCGAACCTGGGACCCTTGAGTCCGCAGGCCAATGCGCTCTCCACTGAGCCAAACTGGTTAGGGCATTTTAGTTGTAGTTTTAAAGTGGTTGTGTGAGGCAGCAAGTTCAGGTGTTTACCTATGCTGCCATCTTGGTTTCCCCCCAGATTTATTTTTTAAATCAGTAGTAGCTAAAATTTTGTGTCAGATTGGATTGGTGATGGTGGTGTGCATGTGAGCTGGTGGGGGCAGAGTTGGCAGAAAGGACATTCCAAGATTAGAATTATAGGAAAGTAGGTCAATCAGGGCTTTTAGTAGGAACGAATTTCATTTTGTTTTGGTTAAAATAGAAATGGCAGCATTTTCATGATGAAAATTTAAGGCATAATATGAGAATATTGATTTGTTGTTATCTTGTATTACTTTTACTAGGAGATCATTTTATGGAGAAAAGCTCCTGAAAAACTGAGGAAACAGAGAACAAACTTTCACCAGCGATTTGAATCACCAGAACCACAGGCCTCTCCTGAACAGCCTGAAATGTGAACTGAATAGGAGAAAAAAATAAAAATAAAAACTCTTAAACTGTTGAGATTAAGTTTGGCTGATTAAAGATGGTTGCAGCATAAAGTGGGGGGAAGGCCAAAAGTCCATGTATAATAGTCTTCCTTTATCTTACAGTGCTGCATTTATTTTATGATATAACTAAATATTCTTACATGTACTACATTTTAAAAAGTGCTTTCTTTGAAACACTGGAACTTTCTTAAGCTGCCGTTGTTTTTTTTTTACTGCACACTTTGATGATAAGCACTCATATATGCATCAGTATAAACATTAAAGATTTTCATGAGTAGGCTGGTAATTGTAATTTTGCTTTTTTTATGCATAATGCAGACTATAAACCAATTTCTTCTATTTTATGCCAATAATTACCTCTTATCCTCTACATACAAAATTAAATATTTTGTGTTCAAATAAAATTGGAAAACCTGAGTTTCCCTTACATCCTACGGAGATTTAAAACATGGCATCTTAATATTTTTGAGTACTACATTTATGTTCTTACATTATGTGTATTTGAAAAATGCAAATGGAATGTTGCCCTGTAAGTGCTTCTGAGTCTACCATTCCAAAGCTTCCTCAGTTTTATTCTTTGAAGTCGTCTTTGGTTAAAAATATTAACGTTTTCCTTGCAGAAATTATGTGGCATGTCCTTTACAGCCTTTTCTTTTTTTCCTGTCATGCTAAGTAACCATTATGCTACTACTATCCAGCAGGTACACTGTATTTTTCTGCAATGTGTAGTTGATACTATGTTGGCATTTAGAATTTGATAAAACTAATTTTTCTGTTAATTCTTTGAAAAATCTTTTTTTAATTTAAGGAATCTTTTTTACTATATACATGCAAATACAGTTTTCTTGACTTTACAAGTATTCTCTTCCCTTTGAAGTGAGAATTTGAGGATGGGGTGATTTAGGTGGACCTGTTAATAAGCATATAGTTATCCAGATCTGGGACAGTATGTTTGTTAAATTGGAACTTGGGCTCGTTCAAACTCAATTTTAAATTTCACCCACTCTGTTTAAATTTTAATACTGAATTCAAGTCATTTGTTCAATGTCTGTAAAAAAGCTGCAGTCATGTGCCTAAGGTCTGATCTCAGACACACTCAATGTGGGTTGTAGGAACTAAAACAACGAAGCCTGTTGTGTGAAACTACTCCACATGATTCATTGGTTTTTGTACCAATATATTTTATACACTTCAGTGCAAGTCTTGTGAGTTAACCTTACTTTATGAGTAAGCTAAGTAATCCAGATTACATTTCTTTAAACTTGTTTTATTACCATGGCACTTAGATAAAATGGTCGGTAACCAACTTCTGGCAACAGGTGCCATGTGCCATGTGCTGGAGCATCTATTTTAAATGTGGATATATGTAAATGGTCATATTTCCCTTTCATGCAAGTGCCTGTTCAGAGTTTCAAAATTTAAAAATGCCAAATATTCTCATGGTCACTTGCATGTAATCTAGAAAATATTCACAGGAAATTTGAGAACTAATTGTATTTATCCAGCCTCAAATCATGTGACCATGGTGTATAATAAAGAATTTGAAACAGATACTGAACTTGCGTTAAGTGGTTAAAATAATTCTTTTCTCAGATTTCTTCTCATTGTCAGATTGCTCAACAGTTCAGGAAGCTATAATTAAGAAAATTTAAATTTTTATAAATATTGCCAGTTTCAATTTTAAATAGCTATATAAAGCTATTAATTAGGTGGCTTAAAACATCAAATGGAGAAACTGGATAACCAATGGGTGTGGGCTGCCTGTCACTACTTGAGCCAATGAAGCAGAGACAGAATTGAATCATGAGTGTTTATTCCAATCCTGCCGGCAGTACGGGAGAGCACAGGTCAGCCACAGAAATCTGCTCTCCCTCTCCCCAGAGGCTAGCTGCTTATATTGGGCAGAAGGACGAAGATTACTTGGGAAAGTAGAAATTACAGGATGGGAAGTAGGCAAGGTATAATGGTTACAGATAACAGGCAATGTGGGCTGGGGGGTTCACAAAGCCCCGGGACCAAATTATTTCAGCAATAAAGTTAATATTCGTGATGATCATTTCTTGGAAAAGGAGAATGGACTGCATTGTGATGCTAACTCCCATATCCCGGGGGTGTACAACTCTCAGCCAGATTAGAATGTGCTTTCTCTAATCAAAACAGGACAATCCCGGATTGATTAACACTTCTTATAGCTAGTCCCTACTATTCTATTTCTGCCTCTAACAATAGGATGCTTACTTTGCTTGTCTTAGTTGCAGAACCAATTTGAAAAATAAAAATTTGAATTCAGTATTTGGTGAATTGAGTAAAAAGCTGGCCAGCTAATCTGAGTAAACTGGAAAAATAACTTGTGTTTTCATCGTGTACAATCTCTAATCCAGAGGTTCCCAATCCTGGCTGCATGTTTGTTTTTAAATATATTTTTATTGATTTTAGAGAGGAAGAAATATAAACTTCAATGATGAAAGAGAATCATTGATCAGCTGCTTCCTGCACACCCCCTACTGGGGATCAAGTCATGTGCCCTTGACTGGAATCGAACCCAGGCAGGCCGATGCACTATCTCCATTGATCCAAACCGGCTAGAGCCTGGTTGCATGTTTAAATCACTTCAATAGTTTTTGAAAATAACTATTCCGGATCCTACTCAGGCCACTAAAATCAGAATTTCAGGGTCCTGGACATCAGCATTAAAAAGAGCTACCCAGATCACTGTCTGAACCATTTAAATAGTTATTTTTCTCACTCGTGAAGAATTCTCATTGTTTTGAATTGTTGAGCAGGATAACTTTTTTCTCTAACTCATTTATGTTTGAGCCTGCTAATGAAACTGACAAAAGACAGATTAGCAGGAGAAAAACATTTGAATTTAAGGGAATTTATGAAACTGACAAAATGTTGGTTAAATTTGGTGTTTAAATTGATAGGGGGAAATGGGGTAAAGGACACTTGCAAATGATTTCTTAGGAGTATTTGGGGGGAGAAAGGACATGGAAAAGCAAATGACTCTCAGGAAAAATACATACCTGGGTCCTTAGGAAAATAGTTGGCAGACAGGATAGCTTTGTGCCAGAGTCTATTTTTTTTTTTTTTTAAGTATAAAGAGATGTATGATAATTGAGTTCTTTTGGGAGGCTCTGCTTTCAGGCGGATAGGGACTTCAGGAACTCAAATATTTAACACTTTTATGCCACAGTGGCATATTCTGGAACCCTTTAGTGTGGATGAAATAGTTGGTATACTCAATTTTAATTACTATGTGAGCCAGTAGTCTTCATGTTCCTTTTATATTCAGCTGAATCTTGCAAATAGTATATAAAGGAAATTTTCGGGGGCTTTTACAAGCCTGGATTGGAATGTAACACTTTTTAAGTTTCTAATTAGACAAAGGCATAGTGAAGAAAATGTGCATCAAATATAATGTATCCTTTTTAAGGCTCTCCAGTGAGCATAATTCTTACATCACTCCCCTACCTAAAATCAGTGATTTGATTCCAGGGTGAAGTTTACATTCCCTATTACAAACACCTTCAGCTCTGTTTTGCCAGACTCCAGAGAATTATCCACCCTCTGTACACTCCAGCTAACTGCTAGTAAGGCTCTCCTGGCCTAGCTGGCTTGACACCATCTCCATCTCTAAGGCAAAGAGCTGTGGGTTCAGTGTGCGGCCAGGACTCTGCTTTACCGCACTCAAAAGACTGGAATTCAGTGGAGTTAAGCCTCTTAAGGCTCAGTCCGCTTTGTTTGGTATACTTTTGTGCTTATTATATACACACTCAATATCTGAATAAATTGCTAAACCTGACTTTTCCTATGATTATGAAGTTAAAGATGTCCTTTAAGAAAAATGTACGGGTCCAAATGTAATACTCTTGTAACACTGTTTAAAAAGTATCCTGTGAATCAAAGGCACATAACCAGTTGTATTGGAATTTTACTTGACAATATTCACATATTACACGACACATTCAAGTTGCAAGATCCTAATTTTTTTTTAAGTATAAAAAGTTAGAAAATCTAACAGCACATTTTACATTTAATAAATGTTGCCACCTCATAGGATAGTATCCAGACAATGCAAATGAAACTAAACTTTGGCTGGGGTGCAGAGGACCTATTTTTGCTACGCAGTAGTGACATATCGGCTGCTTGGATGATGCACACAAACTGCCCGCGTTAACGTGGTAAGTGCTTACACGCGAGCCGTACGGGGGAGTACTAGGAAACTACAGGCCAACGAAATACTTTGGCAACATTTCTGTAGGACAGACCATTACGTTCTCGAATGCTACGCTATCAGAAAACCAGTAAACACAAGAAACTTTTGGGGAAATGCTCTTTAAGGGTGTTGCAGGTTCAATCGGTCACACCGATTTTTGTATTTAAGAATACTTACAGGATAAATTTCCATAGGTGGAATTTCTGGATGAAAAAGCAGAAGCACTTTGTAATTTGTATAGATATTTTTCAAATTGTTCCCCATAGGGTTGTATCATTTTGCACTCCTATCCGCAGTCAATACAGTCAGTCTCCACTTTATCCACAGAGCATACAGCCCAAGACCTCCAGTGGGTGCCTGGGACAGACCACGGACAGTACCAAATCCTATGCACACCATGTTTTGTTCCATACATACATACCTTATAAAATTTATAAATTAGGCACAGAAATATATTGACAATAATAATAAAATAAAACACTATTAAGGATATACTGTAATAAAAGTTATATGAATGTCAAAAAAAAAAGTGTTGCAGTTCGTAAGCTACGCTCACAGCACAGGGAGCTGCTCCTCCGTCCACCGCGGCCACGGCGCTGCCCACGTGCTTCTCAAGACGGACCGGCCAGCTGGCGTCGCGTGACACCTCGCAGGCCCCCTCCTCTCCTCTGTGACTCCCCAAAGGTGCCTGATCCTTTACTTTCTTTCTTTCTTTTTCTTTTCAGGGGAAGCTGCGCCCAACATCTAATTAGAGAGAGAAAGATATTAAGAACTTATCTTTTCTAGGTTTCATGCCTATTCTTTTCCTCCCCCCTTTGGGCAGTGACTGCGGGCACTTTTTCTTTTTGATCGGGCGCGTCTCCGGGCAGCTCCCGTGCCGGGTCCGGGCCTTTCCGGAGAACGGGCGCTGGCGGAGTGCGTCACTGTCACCGGCCACCGCAGTGTCCCCGGCCGCCGCCGCCGCTCTCGCGAGGGCCCGCGCTCTCCATGTCCTTTCCCCGGTGTGCGCTGCTATGGGCCCGGCTCCCGGCGGGGCGCCGCGCCGGCCACCGGGCGGCCGTCTGCTCCGCCCTCCGCGCGCACCCTGGGCCCGTCCCCGGGCCTCTGGGGCGCCCGCCAGCCGTTGCCTCCGCCTCCTCTTCTGCGTCCGGGGGTTCCAAAGCCCCGAACACGTCCCTGTTTGTGCCGCTGTCTGTGAAGCCTCAGGGCCCCAGCGCGGACGGCGACGTGGGCGCGGAGCTGACCCGCCCCTTGGACAAGAGTGAGTCCTGGGCGGCGGGGGTGGGTCGTCCTGCAAGGTCCCCAGAGCCGCAAAGGCCACCGTTCAGTTCTCTGTCCCTTCTCCTAGGCCGGGGGTCTACCGGATGGCCAGCGGCATGGAAGGTCAGGGGGTCTGATCTTCATCACCAGCGATAGGAAAAGTCAGGGGGTCTGATCTTCATCACCAGCGATAGGAAAGGGAGGTCTGATCTTTATGACCAGCGATAGGAAAGGTCCAGGGGGTTTAACCACATGACTAGCCATAGGCCAGGAAAGGAAAGGTCACTGTGGGTGAGGTCCTTCTTTTGCCCATTTCCCTTATTCTGTTCATGGCTGTCCATTTGCCTCCCACATTCCCAGGAATGCAGAGTGTGTGGCTGGGTCAGTACAATGTTTCTCGCTACAGAATGCAGTAATATTGTAACATGTTTGATGAAATCACAGTCTCAGCTTGACTAATATAAAATACTTTTATAAAATACTGGAGGCCGGCGCATGAATTCAATGCAAGGTTGGGGTCTGGCCAGCCCACCCCTATGGGCCGGCAGGGGGGAGAGGATGTGGAGGTTGGCGGGCTGGCCCAGCCCTCCCTCCCACCCCTTTGGGTGGTGGGGGATCAGGGGATGGGGGGGGGGAGGGTGCAGAGTATTGAGGGGACTATTGGGGCCCCAATTAGGCCAGTTGGCCACCACAGTATGTGTCATAGTGACTGGTCATTCCATAGTTCCATTCGCTTGGCTTTTATATATATAGGTTTAAAATGTTATTGATTCATAGTGGCATGTTACTTAAGCAGGCATTGAATTCGACCTCTCCTAAGTATAGTGATTTCTCTGCCATCACCTTGGAAATACAGTCATTTAAACCTTGAGTACTTTTCATTGACAAGGAGCTGGCCCTTTTATGAGCCAGTCTCTTTTTACTATTGTAGTTGCTAGGAAACTCTTGTATAAATTCCACTGACATCTGCTTCCCTCATCTCCCATTGACTTCAGTTATGCCATCTAGAACAAAATAAGTATACTCTGTTCTTCCTAAAGCCATCTTCTTCAAACTAAAGATCATCCCTGGATGCTATGTTTCCTTAATCTTATTTACTTACATATATGTTGTTATTGATTTGAGAGAGTGGAAGGGATAGGGATAGAGAGATAGAAACATGGATGAGAGAGCAGCTTCATTGATTGGCTGCCTCCTTCATGCCCCTCATTGGGGATCCAGCTGGAACCCAGGCATGTGCCCTGACTAGGAATGGATCTGTGGTCTCCTGGTTCATGGGTCAACCACTGAGCCACATAGGCTGGCCATCCCTGGCTCCTTTAGTTATTTGCATAAAGGCATAATGGTCTGGTCTTGTAGTACTGGTTGTCTTTTCTAGATACCTTGTAAGCTGCTCACTATTAGATGTTCGTAGTGATTGTAAGTAAATGAAATAGAACGTGGTTATTTAAAAGTGACCTGCTGGAGGCAGTGTCTAACCCTGTAGCACCTTGCTTACTCCTCTGCGGTGGAACAGGAATGTTTGACTTTATAATTTTTTAGGTGCTTCATCTCACTATTAAATTAAAAAGAGCTTGTGACCAAATAAAACCTTTTAAGTTCTTGCAACACTCAGTAGACTGCTGTGTTGAGTGTTAGGACTTCAGGTTTTGTTTTGTTTAGGCATTCTCTATTTGGGAAACAAATATTACACACATTTTAAATTTTGATATCTTTCTTCCAGATGAAGTAAAGAAGATCTTAGACCAGTTTTACAAGAGGAAAGAAATTCAGAAACTGGGTGCTGATTATGGACTTGATGGTAATGCTAATGACATTCCATTAGAGGTAGTTTATTTTTAGATTATAGCTTTGTGAATATAGTGTAGCACCTGTGTGTCCTTGACATCCTATATAATAAAAGGCTAATAGGCAAATCAACCAAATGGCAGAATGACCGGTTGCTACGGTTGCTATGACGCATGCTGACCACCAGGGGCCAGATGCTCAATGTAAGAGCTGCCCCCTGGTGGTCACTGTGCTCCCATAGGGGGAGTGCTGCTCGGCCAGAAGCCTGAGCCAGGCTTAGAGCTGGCGAGTGAAGCAGCAGCAGTGGCAGGAACGTCTCCTGCCTCTGGGGCAGAGCTAAGGATGTCCATCTGCCTGCTGGGAGTGGGTTAAGCCGTCAGTTGGACATCCCCTGAGGGCTTCTGGGCTGCAAGAGAGTGCAGGCCGGCCTGAGGGATTACCCCCCCACACCCACCTCAGTGCACCAATTTCGTGCCCCAGGCCTCTAATAAGAACTTGTAATTGGAGGATGTCCCTGGTCTCTGCCCTCTGAGCAGGAGATTGGCAAGATGCACCTGGTAAGCCGGACATGTAGCAGAGAGCTGTGTGTTCACCTTTCCTTCATGTTGTGCTAGGATTTCAATTCTGGCCCAGATCTGATCAGAAAAAAAAGTGGGGGGGCACTTTGATTAATTAGGTGTGATGTGTATATATACTTTTTAAAATGACAAATGAATTTAAGCCCTGCCTATTTTGGTTTTTTATTTCCTGTAGCTCGTCTCTTCCACCAAGCTTTCATAAGCTTTAGAAATTATATCCTGCAGTCTCATTCCTTGGATGTGGACATTCACATTATTTTGAATGATATTTGCTTCAGTGCAGGCAAGTGTTTATAGAGATTTTTTAAAATCCTGAAGAACATACTTTCTATTTCCTTCTGTACTTCATGTATATTTCTGAAGTCAGGGATTATTTGTATAGAACAGGCCCTATTAACATTTTCTATAAATAATTTGGTGCTTGCATAGGAGGCTGTCTAGGTCCTGTTAGGCCCGTGAGCTAGTTATTAAATCCCCCATATGTATTAGACTGGGGGCAGGTTTGATCTGTTACCATCTGCTCTTCACTATGTGCTAATACAGGCCCCAGTGGGATCAACTCTCATGCATAGCACATTCCATCTGTCTCTGCCACTGTTCCTTTACCCCGCATCAGGACACAGTTCCTGCCATAAAAGAAAAAAAGTAAGAACGTCATTCTTTTGTTCCCATAGGCAGCTTGGTTTTGATTATATATTTTAAATGTGTTTGATTCTTAGACCTTTACTCTGTGCCAGGAACTGAGGTAGAACCTGGATACAAAGCAGAATGAGACACAGCCTCACCCTCAGAGCCACTAAGGTGTGGAGACTTTTTCCTGAGCAATCAGTTCACGTTCTTGTTTTACAGTGGTCTCTGTAGTTTAACAGTGTTTGCACCTGCATTTCTTTAACCACAGGCCTTCTTTCTAATGTATATTTCCAGTTCTTTATTTTTCATTTAACTTTTACCGATGCTGACCTTTACCTGCTCGCATTGGATGAGTAGGACATGATGGTTGGCAGCCAATTTTTTTTTTCCCCCCCTAGAACAGTGTTTCTTAGAGCACTAGTTAAGTATAGAATTTTACCTATATGCTCCCAAAAATTCTAGTTTAGCGCTTCTTAGTTGGGATTCAGGAATCTGTATTTTAACAACTCCACCAGGTGATTCTCACCATGAGAGAAGTTTGCGAAGCACTGCTCTAGGAAAATAGAAGTGAAGTTGGGAGGAACATGTAAGACAAAGCAGATCTCAGAAAAGTGTAGAGTTCCTTGCTCCAGGGTTTTTCTTTTTATCCTGGTAATGTCCCTGAAACTTAGCTCGCTAAGAAGGAAGTGTAGTTATGGGTAACATGTAGATTGCTCCTGTTAATGCAGTGTTTTATTTTCCAGCTCATGTGGATGATTTATTTCCGTTTTTCTTGAGACACGCAAAACAGATATTTCCTGTGTTGGAATGTAAGGAAGATCTACGTAAAATCAGTGACTTAAGAATACCACCTAATTGGTTAGTTTCTTCATTTGTGGATTTGAAATTTTCGGTTTCTAATTTTGGGAGATCATTATTTTTTAAAATTATATTCTGGATGGTAAAATATGAGGAGTCTAGATTGTGTTGTTTTCCCTAGGAAAAGGCAGTTAATTCTGGCAGGCAATAAACTGGTGCCTCCCTTATCCTGACCCAGATCGGTTTTAAGATTTATTTCTGCAAATCGACAGTAGCCCTTCCTTTAGGGTAGGGGTGTCGAACTCAATCAGAGAAGGGGCCAAAATCTAAAATCCAGCCTAAATCGCAGGCCGAATGGTTTACTGAACAGTCATAAACTGTCATTGTGATGGAAACGCAGCGGAGTGCAGTGATGACAGCGCGGTGCGGGCCACATTGCAAGGCCTGGCGGGATGGATTTGGCCCGAGGGCCTTGTGTTTGACACATGTGCTTTAGGGTTTTGTCCTTATAATTCAGGTGTGGCCTTTCTGGGGTGTCTGGGGTGGTAATGAGCTCTCTCACAACCACTGCTGAAGAACCCCGTATCTCCTAGTACGTGGCTACCTCATTGAGACTGTCTGCTCACATGCTTAGCAAGCTGTTCTCTGCCAGGTGCTGCGCATGTTCAGCCCACCCTGGGCAAAGGACCCACAGGAACTCCCACACAGGCTTCAAGGCGCCCTCTTTACTGCCCCCGTTCCCCCCGCACACACTCTGTTCTTTAACTTCCAGCTGCTTCAGCAACTGAGAATTGGATCTCAGCTGCCAGCTCAGGGGGACCATCGTCCTTTGCGTGGGTTCCACCTCCCTGTCCTGCTGGGTGCAGTAGGCCTCATCCAAGTGTCGCCGCCTTCTGGGGCCTGCAGGCCTGCCCTGCCTGTTGTCATGTCCCCAAGCAGCTGCAGCATATGTTTTGTACTTGTTCATGGTGGGAGGCAAGCCCAGTACCACTCCTCATGGCCAGAAACAGAAGATGTGGTCATCATATTGTATATGTTGGAGTTCAGAAGCCTGAGAGTATTTGCTCATAAGGTCATGTGCTTAGATAGAGCTGTGGAAGGGATGTGAACATACCTATGGAGCTAATATTAGTTTAAATTTTTTTAAGTAACTACAGAGGAAGAAGGATTTGTATAGTGGCAAAAATATCCAATAAATTAATATGCATTTGGATTTTTCTGTCCTCTGTTAGTAAATGTCATTCTTGGAAAGCAGTCATTATTTCAGTGTAGATATGACATATGTCATTTAACTAATTTTTTAAAAGATGTTACATTGTGAATGTTAAGAGAATGTTTCATTGGAATTTTTTTCAATTGGGAACTTTGCCAAGATGGATTTTGAAATTAATAAGGTTAAGCTGTTTGCCTACTTATTTTTTAGGTACCCAGAGGCCAGAGCCATACAACGGAAGATAATATTCCATTCAGGCCCCACAAACAGTGGAAAGACTTACCATGCAATCCAGAAATACTTGTCAGCGAAATCTGGAGTGTATTGTGGTCCTTTAAAATTATTGGCACATGAGATCTTTGAAAAGAGTAATGCTGAGGTCAGTATATTACCAAATATTTGCTCCTTGTTAATTTTGTGGGGGGAAAGGGGTTGGGTAAGAAGGAAGGTGGGAGGGTGGAGTGCATGTGTAGTATGCCCTTCCTTAACAAAATTGCCTATTTCATTGCACCTAAGAAGCCATCAGTCGTAAGATGTGCCGTTATTTTATGTACAGTTAAGAAATACGAAGTACTGCCAACTGAACCCTAACATGGCATCAATTGTTAAGATGTATCCTGTAATAATGTGCATTTTAGAATGAATGAAATATATTGTTATAGAATATTTCACATATTCAGAGATATGCTGAGAATAATGCAAATAATCTGAACCCACTACCCAATTCCTGTCAGATTCTAACATTTTGCCATACTTGTTTTATTTACTTTTTTAAGAAATAAAATATTATCGATAGAGTTGAAACTCTGTGAAGACCTCTTTTGCCCCCTCAGAGTTAACCACTACTCTGTTACGTTGTTTAATTTACTCTTTGTTAGATTAGCCATGATACTATCAACTAGAACTAATGATAAAGACTGAAGCTACTTTTTCAAACCTGAGAAGGACTCAATGCCCTGTGGTCTAAGGCATGGGATAAAATTTGATTCATTGTTTTATTATTAGTTTTATTATGATTATAATGTCAGATAAACCAGTTTTGGTAGGTAATTTGTAGAGATTTTTTTTTGTTCTGAGTAATTTATGTAATTTTCATACATAATTGTCTCTTGATCCATAAATACTTAAAAAGTATTTCCTCAGAACAAAGACTTTCTTATATAACCACAGGATATTTATCTAAAGCAGATCATTTAGTACTGACAGACTAATATTACTAAGTCTATACTCTATATTCAAGTTTTTCCAATTGTCCAATAACAATACTCCCCCTTGCCCCTGCCCTCACTGCCCTGACCTCCAGGTTCTGTTCAGCACTCACACTTTTTTCATCCTCATATCTCTAGTTTCTATTAATCTGAGGCAGTTTCTGGTCTTCCTTTGTCTTCCATAACCTTTACATTTTGGAAGACGACTCAGTTCGGATATGTCTGTTTCTGACTCAGGATTACGTTCAGGCCCCTGGGGAGACCGGCTGCCCATTTGCCTGGAGTTTCCCCAGATTCAGCACCACAGCCCTTTGGGGAAGGCCTGGACGAACCAGGGGCGTGGGTCACTCTGATACACCATAGCATTGATACTGGTTCTTCTCAAGGAATTAAATTATATTGGGGAGACTGTACACTCTTAAATTTCATTTATAATATCCTTTTTGAATATAGAAATAATTCATGTTCATTTTATTTTAATAAACTGAAATAAAAAAGAAACATAAGTTAAAAAGCGAAACTACTATAATTTCTCATGCTTTTGTTACCTGAGAATTTAGTTGCCTTGTGGTATTTCCAAGTTTTACATAGGCTTTGTAATGCTGTCACAAACAGTAAGATTTCTGCTTTCATTTTTTGTTAAAAATGCTTTTTAAAGGATTGAGACTATTTTGTTTCAGCTATTAGATAAATAAATTTGATCATAATGGAGAGAATTCTTTATCAAACATCCAACGTTTCTCTTTGCTGTTCTGTTCAAAGTGAAAGTAATTCCAGGTCTCTCTGTCATCCTAGGGTGTGCCATGTGACTTGGTGACAGGTGAAGAGCGTGTGTCAGTAGAGACCAACGGGAAACAGGCTACCCATGTTGCTTGTACTGTTGAGATGAGCAGTGTTACAACTCCTTGTATGTACACACTATTTAAAAAAAACAGTATTTAAAAAAGCTTTAAACAGCAATGAACATATGAAATGTTTTTATTGTGAAAAAGTTTAAGTTGAGACAAAGAAGAGAATAATACAACAAAAAGTATCTACTATCACTAATGAATGCCTGAAACTTTCTGTCATGTTTCCATTATTATTATTATTATTATTATTATTATTATTATTATTTCAGAGAGGAAGGAAGAGGGAGAGAGATAGAAACTTCCATGATGAGAGAGAGAATCAGTTGTGGGCCCCTGTTGGGGATGGAACCCTCACCCTGGGCATGTGCTCTGACTGGGACCCTTCATTCCGCAGGTTGATGCTCTGTCCACTGAGCCAAACTGAATAGGGCTGTCATGCTTGCTGTTTTAAATATTCTTTCCTTTTTCCTCTTAAAAGAACAAAAATGTTAATAGCTATGAATTTGTAGTAATCCTCAGTTCAATTCTTCCCCCTCGTTTTGTTTTCAGTATTATTTGTATTAGTTTTAGGTGTTTAGCATAGTAGTTAGGCAATCATATACTTTCTTTAAAATGTGTTTTTATTGATTGTTAGAAAGAGAGAGGAAGAGAGAGAAACATCAATGAGAAACGTCATTGATTGGCTGCCTCCTGCATGCCCCCTACTGGGGATCAAGCCCACAACTTGAACATGCACTCTGCCCATTTACTGCATTTACTATGCCACCATCTTGACCAAAATCTCCTTTCCCCTTATTTATTTATTTATTTTTAATTTCTTTATTGATTTAGGTATTACATACGTGTCCTCATCCCTCCATTAACCCCCACTCCCTCCTACCTTTCCTCTCTTGATCTAACTGCTATCAAGTATTTGGTGTATATCTTTTTTGCTGTCAATACTATAAATTGTGTATTTTAAAACATTTACATGATTATCATATTGTATTAATTTTCCACACTTGCTTTTTATTCTATACAAGTTTTTAGATCTAGGCTTGTTTTGTGTGTGTGTGTGTGTGTGTGTGTGTGTGTGTGTATATATATATAAAATCATATATGTCATAAACATATATCAAATTTATTCATTTAAACTGTTACATTGCATTTCATTTTATGACTAAAATTACATATTTCTTCATTAAAGAATACTTAAATGGTTTAAAGTCTTTCACTATTAATAGCACTGCAGTAAACTAGTTAAGTCATTTTGAAAATATTTTTTTATGAAAATCAACTTTTTTTTATTATATAAGCAATTATATCTTCACATTGAAAACTCAAAAATAAATGCAGAGAATAAAAAAGTACATATTTTCCCAATTCCACACATTCAGAATAAGCAAGTGTTAACCCTGTGGTATATATTTTTCAGATTCTTTTTCTAAATTTTTATTGTGTATCCACATATTTATGTGTGCATTGTGGTTATGTATATTAAATAAAATAGGGATTATATATTACATGTTAGAGCAAATTATGTACTATTTAGTAGTTTGCTTTTTTAATTTTAATCTTAACTTTCTGTGTAAATGGGTAGTTTCTTAAAAATTGGTTCATTATAACAGTTGTATGTTATAAAAATTCAGATAGCACAGATATTTATAAATGAAAATTCCCTTTTTTTAAATCTTGTTTGTAAATGCCCAGATGCAATAAGTAAATTTTAATCTGATGGTTTTTTAGTATAAAATTAACTTTCTTTTGTTTCTTAAATGTCTTGCATTAAAAATTTTAATGTGATCTTAACTCCTTGGTATTTTGAGAAGAAAATTAAAATATAATTAATATAACTTAAAAAGAATAGAGTACTATGGTTGGAAGCATTAAAAAATAAAATTTGGCACTAATTTTTGCTGTAGTGATGAGCTGAAATTCCCTAAGAACGAGCATTGCTGGAACTCGGGGGATTACACTTTCCGCTCTGCTTTCTGCCCTCACACCTGTCTGGGTTCCGGTGGCTGAGATGCTTCAGTTACCATGGGGCTGTCTATCCCTGGCTCCTGGAAGCACAGAGACTTTTTTCTCTTCCTGCTGTGAGGTGTGTCAGCTCTCATTAGGCAGATTCTCCAGGCTGCCCTGAGATTGCAGAAATAGGACAAATGAACCTGCTTAATGTGTGAGGCAGTGAGTAGATAGTTAACAGTCTGGACTTTGGAGCTAGAAGGCCTGGGTTTGAATTTCATGTTTTTTAAATCTTACCCTTACCTGTACATACTGTATCCTTGGGCCATAACTGAACTTCTCTGGGCCTCAGTTTATTCTTCTGTAAAATGAAGAAGGTGATGACTTTCCTTTTATATTTGTGGTGAGGGTTAAGTGAGTTGTAATTGTAAAGCCCTGCGAACAAGACTGCCAAAAAGAAGCCTGAGTGGTCAGTGGTGGTGATGATTGTGGTGGTGATGAATGCTTGGATTTCGGTGTTGTCATTTGTTTGTAAAACTATTTAAATACTTACGTTGCTCGTGATAACTTTTTATTTTAAGATGAAGTGGCTGTGATTGACGAAATTCAGATGATTAAAGACCCAGCCAGAGGATGGGCCTGGACCAGAGCACTTCTAGGTTGGTGTCTTCGCGCCCTAACACCTGTGCTTTGTGACACCTGCTCTGAGGTGCATTATCCGCTGGACGTCACCAAGGAGAGCCAGCTAGATTATTTCTTTTTGACACAAATGAAACAAAAAGTCAGCTAAGTGTTGAGTTTTCTTTTCTAAATATTATTTAAATAGGAAGTCTATTTTTCCTATGGTGAGATTAGCATAACCACTTAATTAAAGTTAAAATATTCAAATCTCACCAATATGTACAACCATTATTAAGATTTTGGTGTGTTTTATGCCAGTTTTGTGACTATATAATTTTGTATCTTGCTTTTTTCAGTTCTGTTGTTTCCGACATTTTTTTGGTACTACAGTACATACTAATATTGCATATTCTCCCTTAAGGAGCTGTACTATAATTTTTCCCCACAGAGTTTAACATCTTCCCTTGTTAACATTAATAGTGCTTGCTGAGTCTACCCCTTGACTTGCCTCCATTTCATTTAGTTCTTTTTCTGGATATTTCTCCTGTTGGCCTATGATAAAATCCTGGTGGCCATAGCTTTTTATTCATTTATTTGATTATTTCTTTAGGATAGGCTCCTAGAAGTGGAGTTTTTGAGGTCCACCAACTGAGAACATGAATGAGTATTTCTAATGTTTATATTAGAGTGAATTAAAATTTAATTTATTGATGGGCAGGGAGAGAGAAAGAGAAACTTTAATTTGTTGTTCCACTTATTTATGTACTCATTGGTTGATTCTTTGTAGGTGTCCTCACCAGAGATTGAACCTACAACATTGGTGTATTGGAACGATGCTCTTACTAAACTGAGCTATCTGGCCAGAGCAAGAGTGAATTTTTGATCAGCATATTGTAGGGCAAGAGTTCTCAGACTTAAAAACAAACAGCTGAACTCTTCCAGATAAAGAGTATTCATTGAAACCTTAATGTAAAATGGATGATAGCGGATCTGCTAAGGGGTAACGACATTGGAGTTCCTTCTACCCTCCAGCCCCAGCCCCTCAGGCACCTCAGGGATTCCATGAGGCTAATTTGAAAAACAAGTATGAGACTAATGTTCAGTACTGATCATAAATGTCAGGTACTAGTCCTGGCTGGCATCACCCTCTAGACTCAACACCTTGGCCAAAGCAGTTTAAAAGCCCTGATGTTTATAAAAATGTAGTTAATCTTTGCCCCGTATATTGTTTTGAGGTTTGAATCAGAGAGATAATATTTATGAAAACATTTGGTAACATGGTAAAGCAATAGTAACGAACTTAAAATATTTTTGCTAGCCCTGGCCTGGCGGCTCAGTTGGCTGGAGTGTCGTCCCATACACCAAAGGTTATGAGTTTGATTCCTGGTCAGGGACATATCTAGGTTGGGGGTTCTATCCCCAGTCAGTGGGTGTAGGGGAAGCAACAGATAGATTTTTTTTCTACATCAATATTTAAAAAATGTTCTCGGATAAAGATAAAATATATATTTTGCTGCATAGAGTGTTGCACATTTACTTTTATGTCTTTAAAATTTTTTTAATGGTGATTTTGCATTTAACAGGACTCTGCGCTGAAGAGGTTCATTTATGTGGAGAAGCTGCTGCTATTGACCTGGTTACTGAGCTTTTGTACACGACAGGGGAGGAAGTGGAGGTACTAGAATATATGCTTTGTTCTCAAGATGGTGTAGCAAATAGCCCGGAGTACCAGACAGTGGCTTCATAGGCTGCGGGTAGTGGTAAATTAGAACTTAACTAAAAAGAAAGCTTTATTTCCTCCTAGTTGACTAGATAACACACAATTGATTTAACCTCATATTTGGAGTCTGACAGAGTGGCATCTTACCCTAAGTCTTCTAAAACTACAGGAGATTCTTTATATATTTTTGACAAAACCTTTTGGAGTTTCAGCAGTTCCCTTATAATTAAATAAGTCAGTAATATTGGAAGTTTGAGGTTCAGCAAAAGTTTGTGCTTTTTATTTTTCTTTATTTTTATTGATTTTAGAGAGAGGACTGGGAGCAGGGAGAGAGAGAAAGAAACATCCATGTGAGAGTGAAACATCTATTGGTTGCCTCCGCCTGACCAGGGGTTGAACCTGCAACCTGGGTATATGCCCTGACTGGGAATCAAACCTGCCACCTTTCGGTATACGGGGACATTGCTCCAACAACTGAGCCACACTGGCCAGGGCAAAAGCTTGTGGTTTTTAAAGTCTCAGATGTCAGGTAATTGGGGCCTTTGATATACGTCTAATTGCTAGAAATAGTTTGTATCCCTTTTCAAATTCCTAGAGTAAGAAGTAATTGGTTTTCTTTTAATCCTACTTTTTGTTTTCTTTACCAGAGTTCTATAATAAGATGAAGAAATATTTAAAAACTGGTCCATTACTTTAGTTTTGTGTTCAGCTTTCAGGGAGAGAAATATAGTAGAAGAAATTCTGGGTTCTAGTCTTGACTTTGCTATTAGTTTTGTATTCTTAGGCAAATTGTAGAAGGCTAGAACTGGAAAAATCCTCTTCAGACCTGATGTTCTATAAGGCTCTCTTTTACTTTTTCATAAAAGAAAATAACAGTTAATAACCCTTCTGAACTTACCAAGTTGCCATGAAAATCAAATGTAGCCCTAGCCAGTTTTGCTGAGTGGTTAGAGTGTTCTCCCTTAGACTGAAGAGTAGTGGGTTCAGTTCCTGTCAAGGGCACACACCTTGATTGCAGGCAAAGCATGTGTGGGAGGCAACCAATTGATGTATCTTTCTCATATCAGTGTTTCTCTCTACAATCAATGGGGAGAAAATCAAATGTATATGAAAGTGCTTTGAAAATTTATGAAACACTGTTTAGCATTTAGTTAATTTAGAAATAGCAATGAATATTAAAATAAATGCTTCTTTGTATTTCCCTTTGAAAAACAAAGGACCTTGTTTTTAGCTTTTAGCAAGTTTTCACTTGTTAGTCACATGAAATTGAGTTTGGTGTGCTATTTTACAATATCATGTCTTTATTAAAGGTTCGAAACTATACGAGGCTTACCCCCATTTCTGTGCTGGATCATGCATTAGAATCTTTAGACAACCTTCGGCCTGGGGACTGCATTGTCTGTTTTAGCAAGAATGATATTTATTCTGTGAGTCGACAGATTGAAATTCGGGGACTGGAATCAGCTGTTATATATGGCAGTCTCCCACCTGGTAATTATTGGCTTTCATTGTGACAGAATATTAAACTTTATTTTTCCCTTTTATGTTGAATATGTATAGAAAACGTAGTAAAATATATTGAATTAAGATGCTTGACATATTAGTAATTTGTTATAGGTAATATAAAATAAATGTTTCTCTAGTTTATCTTGGTGGGGATAAAAATATTTTAATTACTTCTAGCTCTTATTATTTGCTGTTATTTAAAATTTTGAATTGAATAGTTTCTTACAGAAATGTCATTACCCATGAACTTGAGTAATATTTCTCAAATTGTAGTTATAAAATCTGTTACTACACGTCTTCAGAAGTGAGAGGCTAGTGTGGTGTGGGGTTGTGTTGCTGTATGTGGGGATATTTAAAAGAGTGGAAATAAAGGATAAGTAACTCTTAGAAGATATAAAGAAATAATTTTATCCATAAAAAATAGGAAGTAGGGGGTGGGGGTTTCCAAGATACACTTAGTGTGATACAGTAAAATATCAAGAACACTGGTTTAACATAAACTTCTTATTTTAGGGACCAAACTTGCTCAAGCAAAAAAGTTTAATGATCCTGATGATCCATGCAAAATCCTGGTTGCTACCGATGCAATTGGCATGGGACTTAATTTGTAAGTGATTTGTTTTTAACAGTCATGGATATTAAGTGGGTTAGATGGCAATGAAAAATTTTCTAATTGGCATTAGAATGACCACTTAAGGAATGAGTATTATCATAAAGATCTGAGATTTATCTTGCTTACACACCTTGTAAGGGAGTAAAAAGAAAGTATCACATCGCCCAGACTTTGAGTGCTGCTCTCTATCACTGCTATCCTGTTATATAACCATATTTTACTTTTAGTTTCTCAGTCAACAAGTTGTGTGAGTGCCTACTATGCTTGTAGGCCTAGTTGTTATCTGTAGGGGTAACAGTATTAAGCCTAAATATTCCTCTCTGGGGAATGAATTAAAAAAAAAACTATTCAAACTGTAATAGCCAACTTTTAAAGGCAGCTTGAGCCCTAGCTGGTTTGGCTCAGTGGATAAAGTGTCAGCCTGCAGACTGAAGGTTCCTGGGTTCGATTCCAGTCTAGGGCACAGGCCGGGTTGTGGGCACATCCCCAGGAGGCTCTCTCATCATTGATGTTTCTATCTCTCTCTCCCTCTGCCTTCCTCTCTGAAGTATAAAAATATATTTAAGAAAAAAAAAAAAAAAAGAGCCTCTTGAGAACATGTGGTTTATTTGTAAAAAAAAAAAAAAAAAAATCTTATCTTCTATAGCCTTATTAAGGTATAATTTATAAACTATACAGGTCACCCACTGAAAAGTACAAGTTGATAAATTTTAGTAAATTTACACAGTTGTTTAAAAATACTATTTAACAGGAAGAAAGATTTACCAACAAACCTTTTTCTTTTGAAAGCAACAGGCAAGATTGCAAGTAGGCCTAAACTAGAAGTGAGTGAGCATTTCTGCAGTGACCCAAGTGATGGAGAGTTTTTTGTCTGTGAGATCACTTTTATTTCTATTTCAGGAATATAAGAAGAATTATTTTTTATTCCCTTATAAAGCCCAGTATCAATGAAAAGGGAGAGAAGGAAATAGAACCAATCACCACTTCGCAAGCCTTGCAGATTGCTGGCAGAGCTGGCAGGTTCAGTTCGAAATACAAAGAAGGAGAGGTTACAACAATGAATCGAGAAGACCTCCGTTTATTAAAGGAAATTTTGAATAAGCCTGTCGAACCTATACAGGTAAGGTTAATTCCCTTTGGAAGACAGTCATGCCTTCCTTCACCCTCCCTCCAGACCCTTGCCTAGGACACGCGGTAACAAATAAACAAAAGAGAAATTTTATACCGTTAAAATTACATCAAGGAAGTCCTACTTGCCCTAGCTGGTTTGGCTCAGTGGATGGAGCATCGGCCTGTGGACTGAAGGGTCCTGCATTTGATTGCGGTCAAGGGCACAGGTCTGGGTTGCAGGCTCGATCCTTAGTAGGGGGCATGCAAAAGGCAGCCGGTCAATGATTCTCTCTCATCATTGATGTTCCTATCCTTCTCTCCCTCTCCCTTCCTCTCTGAAATAAATGGAAATATATTTAAGAAAGAAAGCCCTACCTTATTGCTTTGGAGAGGACTAGAGACTCCTGGTTGAGAATGGAGACTCCTGGTTTGTGGGTGAAAGATCCAGATTGAAAAGTTTGGTGAACCTAATTTTCCTTTCGTCCTTCCTATAACCTAGCAGCAGGTGGGAGTAGGGGCACAGTTGCTTCACGTGGGCACTCAACTATGTAAGCAGACTGAAAACTTGTCAGGAGCTTGAAACCCTTGAGTGTGGAGCAAAAATAGCACTTAGCAACATAATTTGAACCAATAAGGACAAATGTAGCTAATAAGACAGAAGTGTATATATTTTAAACCTAACTTACAATTTAAAAAAAAATATGTTTTTATTGATTTCAGAGAGATAGGGAGAGGGAGAGAGATAGAAACATCAATAATGAGAGATAAACATTGATTGGATGCCTCTCGCACCTCTTACTGGGGATGGAGCCTGAAACCCTGGCATGTGCCCTGGTTGATGCTCAACCAACTGAGCCACACCAGCTGGGCCTGTTACAGTTTTAAGTTGCCTGGAAATCTTTCTAAGTGGCCCTGGGTAAAGGGGAATGTAAGTGAGATGATGCAAGGAAAAGTTCCTAGAGGAAAGCTGAGGTTGAAATAATTTCTATAGCTTTTGTTGCGAGTGCAGTTGATAATGACACACCATTTCCCTCCTGTGCACAGTACCTCATTTCTTGTGCTCGTTCTCTTCCTCCGACGGGATTCACATCACTCTCCTATCTATCCTTTCCCATTCCTTTCCCCCCTAGCTTATACTTACCCGTAGGCATCTCGTAACAATGCAATATATAGTTAAAGAGATACCTGACCTTCAGTTTAGACATTTTTCATGTATTTATGTATGTCAGACACTGGATAACTAAAATGTGAATAAAAGATTGACTATTCAGTGGGTATAATTGATTAGTTTTATTAAATCATCTTATTAGCTTTCCTAATTGGTAATAAATGGGAAAATGATGCTTTTCTCTATTTTATTCAATATTTTATTTTGAATTAACTTAGGAAAATTTCTCCTTTAAAAACAAACAAACTTATGATTGTTTTTTTTCTTTTACTAAAGGCAGCTGGTCTTCATCCAACTGCTGAACAGATTGAAATGTTTGCCTACCATCTCCCTGATACAACACTTTCTAATCTCATTGTAAGTAGGAAATCACTTTGAATCTCTTTTCTAAAAGTGTTGATATGTTGGCTATTGTAAACCATGCTTCAATGAATATGTTTGCACATGGATACACATGTCTTTTTTGATTTAGTGTTTTGGGTTTCTTCAGATAAATACAGTACCCTAAAGTGGAATTGCTGCGTCTTTTTGTGTCTCTTGTTTTAAAGTTTATTTTGTCTGGCATAAGTATTGCTTCCCCAGATTTTTGTTTGTTTCCATTTTTGTGAAATGTCTTTTTCCTATCACTTTGATTTGAGTATTTGTGTCTTTCTATCTGAAAAGTGAGTCTCTTGTAGGCAGCATATGTGAGGGTCTTTTGTTATCCATTCAGCTACCATGCATCTTTTGATTGGAGCATTTAATCCATTTGTATTTATATTTTTGATATTTTCTTTTTTTCTTTCTTTGTCTTCTCCCTCTTCTGTCTTTTTCTTTCTTCTTCTTCTTTAACATTTCTTGTAATATTGATCTGGTGATGATGAACTCCTTTAGCTTTTTCTTGTCTGGGAAGCTTTTTATCTGTCCTTAGATTCTAAGTGTCCATGGATAGATGAGTGGATAAAGAAGTGGTGCATGTACACAATGAAATATGACTCAGCCTTAAAAAAAAAAATCTTGCCATCTGCAACAACATGGGTGGACCTAGAGGGTGTTTTGCTTAGTGAAATAAATCAGAAAGAGAAAGACAAATACCATATGACATCACTTATATATGGAAATCTAAAAATAAATAAATGAACAAGTAGAACAGAAACAGAACTATAAATACAGAGAATATTTTAATGGTTGCCAGATGGGAGTGGGGTTGGGGGAACTGGTGAAAAAGATGAAGGGATTAAGAAGTATAAATTGGTAATTATGGTCATAGGGATATAAAGTACAGCATGGGGAATTTAATCAATATTTTAATAGCTATGTATGGTGTCAGATGGGTACTAGATTTATCAGGGTGATCACTTCATAAGTTATTAAATGTCCAATCACGGTTGTACACCTGAAGCTAATAAAATATTGTACAACTATAATTGAAAAATAAAAAATTGGAGCATTTGAAACCTTGCTTCCCTGCAACTATCATGAGTTTTGGCTCAAACTCATAAAAATTCTCAAAAAGAAAATTTAAAATCCTATATAATAAAAGGCTAAAGTGCAAATAGATTGAATGGCAGAATGACCAGTAGCTATGACACGCATGACCACCAGGGGCAGAAGCCCGATGCAGGAGCGCTCCCACAGGGGGAGCACTGAGATGGTGGCAGGAGACTCCCAACTCTGTGGCAGCGCTAAGGAGGGGTGACTGACAGCTTAGGCCCACTTCCCCTAAGCGGGCCTACGCCATCAGTCAGGCATCCTGAGGGCTCCTGGACTGCGAGAGGGTGCAGGCCGGGCTGAGGGACCCTTCGAGTGCACAGATTTCATGCACCAGGCCTCTAGTAAAAAATAAAAATGTTGACATCTCAGATAATTACTAGTTAACCTCATGGGCATAAATGGATAGGCTGTTTTTATGAAGTTGCTATTAATGAAGTTTATGTTAAAAGTGAAAACTTTCGAAATCGTTTGGGACTTTTGTCTGAGTATTTTAGGTTGGAAAGATTATGGAGGAATTATTAGCTTGAGGAGGCAATGAATAAAGCAGGCCTTTCTAGAAGTCTGTTACAGGTTAAAGAGGTTGTTGTTTGTCAGTTTGAGTACTTTATTCATGCCCTGTTAGGCAGTCCAGTAATTTAATATGTCTTTTTCCCCCCAGGATATTTTTGTAGACTTTTCACAAGTTGATGGGCAGTATTTTGTCTGCAATCTGGATGACTTTAAATTTTCTGCAGAGCTGATCCAGCATATTCCATTGAGCCTGCGAGTGAGGTATGTGTTCTGCACAGCCCCTATCAACAAGAAGCAGCCTTTCGTCTGCTCCTCACTGTTACAGGTAAGCCTGCATCTTGGGATATTTTGAGTTGTTTTTGATTGAGGTATTTCCCCCAAACAGTACTTTGTTACTCAAAACAATTGAAGACTGTTCTTTAATATGAGATAATATGTAAGAACTTAAATATAAAGTGACTCTCTTTTTCTTAACAAATAATTTTTTGGGGAAAATGGGCTTATATGGTAGCCTTTGCGAAGAAGCTAAAACAAAAATAATTAAATACAGTTTTTTCAAGGGAAGGGGGTCTTTGCCTGCTGATACACTTTTTCCTTGTTGGTGTTGGGTAATATTTTTGGAAGGGGGCGCCAGGGGTTTAGTAGTGGCAATAGTATTCAGTTTTCTTAACATAAGACACTGAGCCAGGGACTGTTCACTTGTATGAGTTTGGTGCCAGGGTTCTGGTTCCTTTTCTTCTCAGTCATTTGGGTAGGGATACAGTTCTGAGGAGCACAGAATTCACCAAAACAGAGCGCCGGGGAAGGGCAGTGGCCGCGGTGTCCTCTCACCTCTCTGGGCCCTGCTCTGCCTGGTGCTCTCCCTTGCAGCACACTACATCAGAGATCTCTTTGAATCTTTTCTGACTTATGGTAGTTCTGCTGCCATTTCTTTATAGACGTTAGCATTCTGTATATTAGCTCTTTTTATCAACTCTATTTCTAAATTCTAAATTATTTTTAAATTGCATAAATAATAAATAAATACTTTCTCTTTGCACAAAATTAAAACATTACAAATAGGATAAATTGGGCTACCTCCTCCAATCTTAGTCCTATGGCATAACTATTATCAGTTTGTATGTAATCTTGCAAACCTTTCCGATTGCATTTGCCTACATAGGTATACATGTAGGAATTCTACAATAGTTTTGTTGTGGGGGTGTGTTTTCCCATAAATGCTATAATGAATGATTTTGCAACTTGCTGTTTTCTTTTTCCCTTATTATGTCTTAGAAGTCTTCCCTGTCCATGCATTTACCTAGGAAATAGTCTCTTAGAACTGGCATTTGTTAGAGTTAGCTAGTGTAAGGTTGATGTTTATGGAACAAAGGCTTACATGCTGCAGACTGACATGGAAGGAGTTTGAGCCCATGCCTTCACCCCATTTACACCATTCTTCAAATTATTCTAGTGAAGCAGCGGCATTTTACTAAGGAGTAAGGACAGTCTAACCGTTGCTTATGTGTTCTGCTTAATGATGAGAATGTGCAATCTAGAGATTTTTCTTGATCTCCATATTTACTGAACTTCAAAAGAGCCATTGATGGTCTCTGAGGACTGATTTTGTAAAAAGAAGGATGTCATTCCCTCACCTTTTAAAAAGTTACCTTTATAAAATACTAAATGTTCTTTAAAATACAGAAAAGTATAAAGAAGAAAGCATCCTGCCTATGGAAACACAATCACAGTTAACATTTTGTTGTGCTTTCTTTTTTTTTCTAATCACAGGCTTAAGTGAATTCTGATTCCTTTCTTCTGCTTCTCTCAGTTTGCCAGGCAGTACAGCAGGAACGAGCCCTTGACCTTTGCTTGGTTGCGCCGATATATTAAATGGCCATTAAATCCACCTAATAATATTAAAGACCTCATGGATCTTGAAGCTGTCCATGATGTCTTGGATCTTTACCTGTGGCTAAGGTATCAAATATTTCCTTTATGTGCTCTCATTTTTTTAAGTAATAGGGCAAATCAAAGGTTTTATGAATGGTCTTTTGCTCTTTCAAATTAGGCACATATTTGCAGGGTGCTCTATATTATGTTTATTGTCCATAAAGGCAGTTGAGCCTGGTTAATCCCCATTCCAAAAATGACTTAACGCATTCTTAGTATTCTAGTTAAGGTAAGTCAGTGAAAAGGTCCCCTAGATCCTTGCTACTCAATGGGTGGAAGCTTATTAGAAATAGAGAATATAATATTTAATCAAATTCTGCATTTTAACTAGATTCCCCAGGTGATTCATTTATATGTTAACATTTGAGAGGTACAATTAAAGTCCTTAATTAATGGTCCTGCAACTTAAAGAAAAAGGATGTATAACAAAACCAGTTTTATCAGAGGCTAATCAATATAAATCAGAGTTAAATTCCCATGGCATCTCATCAGTGTCTGATGAGACAGTGCTGTACAGAGCGATGTTATCAGAGGCCTGCTGTACCGCTCTAGCTCAGTAACTCAGAGCGGGGGCAAGTCCCACGAGGGGGCATCTTGGAATCCTTTCAGGGGGGAGTGGTGACCCATCCTCATAATAATGTACTCCTCAGGTGTGCTGGGGCAGAAGTAAAAGTTGAGCAAAGACACAATAAATTTTGCATAAACGACATTTGGAATTAATCAGTGTCAAGATGTAGTTTTGTCATTGGGATTATTATAGTAGTTCAGCGACTGATAAGAGCTGTTGCTATAATGTAATGTCTTTTTCCCAGCTACCGGTTTATAGATATGTTTCCCGATGCCAACCTTGTTCGAGACCTGCAGAAAGACCTAGATGGCATAATCCAAGAGGGTGTACACAACATCACCAAACTGATTAAGATTTCAGAGGCACAAAGGCTGTTGCATTTGGAGAACATGCCAGCAGACAGCCGGTCTCGTTCGCCGGGAACATCGAAGAGCCAAGCAAGAAGGATGCGCGGAACCAAAACGTTAGGGTTTAAAGCTGCTGAGCCGCCTGGCCCCGGTGCGGAAAAGTCCCTGGCTTCCAGGTTGGTGCAGCAGGGACTCCTCACCGCGGACATGCTCAAGCAGCTGGAGAAGGAGTGGCTCACACAGCGGACTGAGCACGGCAGAGACAAAGCTGAGCCTGGGACTACCTCCAAAGGGTCAAGAAGGAAGAAGAAGGAACCTGATTCAGATTAGTTTTATTTCTATTTTGCAAATAAATATCTATTTAAAAAAATTTTTTTTTCTCATCTGCATTTACTGTCTTATAGTGTTCTGGTTATCTCTGGTTTTTGTTTTTTTCTTTGCCCAGAAAAATTAACTCTTAAACATGAGTAAACTGGGTTTGTTTTTACACTATAAAAATATGGAATATCTTAAAGATTTTATTTAAAGTTTTATAGAACTTTGCAGTATAGAACTAAGACAATGCACTATAAAGAACTCTGCATGGCAATAAAACCCGTTTGGTGAGTTGTTTGAGCAGTTTTCTACACCATTGCTGAGGATGTCATGGGTGGAATTGCTGTCTGTTGTACCCATGTATTGGAGCTGTTCTAGGTGCTGGAAACATACAGTAAGCAAGATGTATTATATGGAGACAAATAGGAATAACTTAAATACATGTCAGCTCTGTGAGGGTAGAGATTGTTGTGTGTCTAGTTCACTGCTATGTTTTCAGTGCCTAGAATATAGTAGAAGCACAATCAGTCTTTGTTCAATGAATGGATGTAGTTTTGGAGATAACTGCTAGTATAAAGTGGAATAAGAAAGAGTAACAAGTGGTAGCGGTTGGACTATTCTAGATAGAGTGGGTGGTCTTCCCAGGTCAGAGGTCAGTCTGATGCATAGTGGCCTCTCTTGTCCAGCACAGTTTTCAGCCCTGATTAGTGATACAGTTGAAAGGAGCTTAAGGGTGTGGGCTTTGGCATTGGACAGGCCTGAGTTCAGCTTCTCATCATTACCCGCCCAGTGACCTTGCCCTCTCTGAAGATGGACAGTAACGCCTATTTTAAGTTGTTCAGGAGGTTAAAGTGATGAGGTGCCATTAGCACGGTGCTTGGTATATATGAAGTGTTTCATAAATGGGTTCACTCTGGGCTGTGACTTGACCACTAAAGTCATTCCAAGAACTGAACTAATTTCTCAAGCGGCTGCTAAACAAGCTGACTTCAGACTAGTGATTACACTGAAAATGGGTCAAGAATAGTTTGGTAAACTAGTTATCTTCTAGCTTTCTCTTTGATAGTTCTGGAGTTCAAACGATGTCTCATTTAATTGAGATGGCAATCTTTAACCTTTGCCTTTCTGGGAATAAAGGCTGAGTAGAGGCACTGAGTATATATCTCCCTTATTTGTGGAAAACAGTCGTGAAATGTCCAGAAGGGCAGATATTCTTCATTAGCTTCTAGAATTTGCCTTCCCTGTGACTTACATCATAGCACACATTGTCTCTTCTTGCCCATTTGGTCTCATGGTACTTAAGAAATGAGGCACATCACTTGGAGAGTTAGTTCTCCCACTTCATTTTTGGGGCCAGAGTTGGTAATTCACAGAAGACACTTAAGCAAGACCCTTGCAAACTTAGCCAAGTTAAATGTTAGTGAAGTCTCAGGTAAGAGGAGTGAAGGTGGGGATACTGTAAGGAAGGGGCTGCTTGAACACTGAGCTAAAGAGTAGATGGTACTAAATAGTTCACCTTTCACCTTTCCCTGTGTGGGGGAGGGAGAGTGTGTTTAGGCAGAAGAGACAGGAGGGAGAGTCTGTGGTTAGGCAGAAAGATAAAATCAGGTAAAACAAATAGGAATAATATAATTGAAGTGACTCTGAGTAGTTAACTGCAAAGTGCTTACAATTGTCACTTTAAAAACAACCTGGTCTCTGCACCAAGCTTGACATGTAATTTATTTTTCTTTGATGCTTCTGGGCCAGCTAAGTCCCAGGCATGTTTCACTCAGGTCATGTTCTTGACCTCTTTTTTTTTTCTTCTTTGTTTTTTTTCTAAAGGCCTTCCTTTAAAAAATATATATATTTATTGATTTCAGAGAGGAAGGGAGAGGAAGAGATAGAAACATCAATGATGAGAGAACCTTTGATCGGCTGCCTCCTGCACGCCTCCTACTGGGGATCGAGCCTACGACCTGGGCATGTGCCCAGACCGTGAGCTTCTGGTCACGCTCAACCATCGACCCGTACTGGCTGGATCTCATCCTTTCTAAAACACAACTCTTTTTCTTGCAGTTTTCTCGCAGGATTTGAAGGCTTCTTTGGATTATTGTGAATTCAGTTGAACATCAACATGGAGTATGGACTGAGACTTAGGTGTTAACTCAGTTCGTCGGTACGGATCTGGCTAATTTAATAAGATGTGGTTAGTTCAGATCTGGTTAGGAACAAAATCAATGACTTGTAATGCGTTGTACATTTTATTTGTGCATGAGTATCATTGTACAAAATGAAATTGGGTCTTTTGAAAGATGCCTATTGTGAATCATCACAAATCACCAAAGCCTGTTACAGCTCAGAAGTAGGAGTCTCTGAAAGTAAGATGCAGTCATTCTATGTATGTCCACCTCAAATCAACCTTTCAGGATATGATGAAAAGTGGTTTACTACAAGGTGAGCAAATGATAAATGAATTAGGTTATTTTATTTCTTTGTTTCAAAGCCATAAAATACATAAACTTGAACAGAGAGAGCAATCATCAACATGCTTCTGAGTTGTCGCTGTTCTCTAAAAGCCTGACAGTCCCTCTCAGATGATAAACAGAAGTTGTCTTTATGTGCAAAAAAATGCTAAAGAAGAATATAATGTTCTTGACGTAGATTGACCTTTGAAGACTTGACTTCACAAAGTTACTTGTGGCAAATTTTGGTAGAGAAGATGATTTTGAACTCGTTCCTTTAACAAATTCTATCTATCCAAGAGTTTTTATTATGTGCTCTCAGAAAGCCCCTGATGCTTGTTAGGCGTGGGAAAGGCTTGTGACCCAGTGACTACCTTGCCCTGCCTTCAACACCTGTGAAATGAACTCGAGGGAGAATGTTCTTTCTTGGGTGCTTGTAATTAGGTTGAAATAATTTTTTTTTAATTCCTTAAATAATTAAAAATTCACAAAGTGCCTTATTCTTTTAATAGCTACACTTGCATTTTATTAACATGTTTATTACTCATTGTCATCGTTTAAAAATTGATAAATCAATGGATGTTGGTCACATTCTATAAAAGTCTATCTGCATACGATTATTTAAAGTAATGCATAATATAAATTCAAAACAAAGCTCACTTGGAAGTAAGAACTCTACCATAACCCATACTTCTGCACATTCATTTATCTCTATATACATAAGCCAAATAAACTTGTCACTAAAAAATACATATATCTTTTATCCTCACCCAAGGACATAGTCACTGATGTTTAGGTAGACAAGGCAGAAACATCGATGTGAGGGAGAAACACTTGACTGGTTGCCTCTTGTACGCTCCCCAACGAGAGATTGAACCCGCAACCTAGTTATGTCCCTGATAGGGAATCTAGTCCACAAACGTTTAGTGTACAGGATGACGCTCCAACCAACCAAGCTACACTGGCTAGGGCAAGTTGAAGTCATTTTTAAAAACTGACTTCTGTCATGAATATATGTATCCCTTTAAAAACCAGAGACACACTTTCAACTCTGTTATTTTTCCTGTTATTCTAGTATTTACCTCATTGACTACATATTATGCATCTCCTCTGTCCTGAGTAATCATTTTAAGACATTAGCTACTGATTTCCTACTATATATCAGGTGAGGATTTAGCTTTTTATATGTATATTTTTATTGATTTCAGAGAGGGAGAGAGAAACATCAGTGATGAGAGAGAATCGTTGATTGGCTGTCTCCTGCATGCTCCTGGAACCCGGGCATGTACCCTGATGTAATTGAGCCGTGACTTCCTGGTTCATAGTTGGCACTCAGCCAGTGAGCCCTGCTGGCCGGGCAGGATTTAGCTTTCTTAAGTCCTTTTCTCCATTTCCCTTTTGGAACAGCTATCATTCCTTTTTCTTGTTGTTAAATCAGTATTTAGAAATTACCCTCATGACTTTCATATTACTTTCATGGCAATTTTTCTTCGTCACTTAACCTATTGAAATTTTTGTTTATCATAGTTTTTTGTTTCATAGACTTTATTATTATTTGATAGTTTCTTTTTTCATTTTGAAAATAAGAGGGTAACAATAAACATCTGAGAAGAGATTCAGAAATTTATATTTTTATTTTTATTGTTGTTGTTAATCCTCACCTGAGGATATTTCCCCCCTCTTGCTTTTCAGAGAGAGCAGAAGGGAGTGAGTGAGAAGGGGAATGGAGGTGGGGAAATTGTTAGGTCAGCATCTTCCCATCCTCTTCAACGAGGCTTTTTCATACATTTATAATACAGTTAGGTTCTTTTGTCAGTCTTGTATTACATCTCTGCTCTAAAAAATTTCTTTAAAAGTTCACATACATAAAAGTTCATTTTTTGTGCTGTAGCGTTATACGGGTTTTTAGACATAATTTTATTGATTTATTGTTTTGACAAAGTATTGTGTCATCTATTCACAGTTACAGCACAACACAGAATAGTCTCACTGCCCTAAAAGCCTGTGCATCACTTACTCAGCCCCCTCCTCCCAGCCCCTGGCAGCCACTCATCTGTGTACCATCTCCGTAGTTTTGGCTTTTCTGTATCTGAGGCAATTTAGTTTTACCAGAGGAAAATGGGTCCCCTGAGCCTCCTCCCAGTGAGTGATGTACACAGATGTCTGCTGGTGTAAACCAGACGGAAACCAGTGGTTTGGGGTCTCATTGTCAGCCTGAAGTTCTCACTTTGTGGCCCTATTTGCAGTCTGGGGCCTCACTCCACTTCCCACGGTCCCAATGGTCTCAAGTCCAGAGGCTGTTGGGTTCGATTTCCCGAGAGAATAAACAGTCTCCTGTAGGGGTAGGGGCTGGTGGTCACCCATTGGTCTAGGTTGAGGGGCACACTTAGAGCCTACCTGCTTTTTTTATAGAGGCTTTTGACCAATCTCCTGTTTTCGGCTCTGTGTTGCCTCTCGCTTTTCAGAGGTAGCTGGGCCTCCAATGCTGAGCCTTCCTAGAGTTACAGATATCACCGCTCACTTCTCAGCAGGTCACTGCAGGCACTCAGGCTTCTGTGCTTCCCCTGCTGAGCCACTACTTTCCTGTTAGCGTTCTGTCTTCCCAAATTACGTTCAGATCTCTTAACCACTGTTGCATTTCTCTTTGCAAAGGGCTGACGCAGAAAGCCGGAGCGTGGACATTGGCAAAGCAGCTCAGCTGCTGAACGTTGGTATTAACACCCAGCTTCTCAGAAGCTTTTCCTCGGCCGGCCGAGGGGGCTTGGTGGAGCACGGGCTGGAGAGTGTTGCTTAGCAACTAGATGTCCTGTTACCAGTCTCAGAGAGTCAAGCAACCCATCCCCTGCCTGCCCTCCACCAGCCCTCAGCTGCCACCCCGAGGCTCCTATTAGACAATCAAGTGTGCTGGGAGGGAGGGACCAGAGAGAGGGGGCAAAGTTTAGCCATTGAACGAAGCAGCCTGGAAGCGTTTAATCTGTAGACCCAGTTGCCCAGCGCCTCCAGCCTGAACTGGAAGTGGACAGCCCTCTGAGACGAGCGAGTCAACTGCACGGAAACCTCTGACCACCGCGGAGAAGCCGCACCTGGGGAAGATGTTTGCGGTGCACTTGTTGGCCTTTTATTTCGCCAAGCTGAAGGAGGACCAGATCAAGAAGGTAAGGACCCAGGAGGCTGAGAGCCGTCTCCTGCACGGACATGTCCGGGGATGGAGGAGAGCTTGTTAGAAAGCACAGGGAGCCCGGGGCCAGTGAGACACTCACCGAGGGACAGAGAATGGGACTGTACCACAGGCTGGGCATGGCACAGTGTCCGGAGCCTGGATCTCACGCAGAGCTCCCGGGCAGGTACCAGATGGGAAGGGGATGTGGAGAAAGTCTCTAGAAACCATTTAGGTCAGTGGTCGGCAAACTGCGGCTCTCGAGCCACAGGCGGCTCTGTGGCCCCCTGAGTGTGGCTCTTCCACAAAATACCACCACGGCCCGGGCGAGTCCATTTTGAAGAAGTGGCATTAGAAGAAGTTTAAGTTTAAAAAATGTGGCTTTCTAAAGAAATTCCAATCGTCGCCCTGTCGATGTTTGGCTCTGTGGACTAATGAGTTTGCCGACCACTGGCGTTGAGGTGATTTGATGTAAAGGAGGTATGAGAGGTGAGGGTAAAAGGAAAGGAGAGCCGTTCTTAAACGTTGAGAACTTGTATGTACGTGATTTTTTCATGTGCTTGAAAGAATCTAAGGAAGGCACTAAGAGGGATGTGAGGTTTCATGTACAATCATAGAAACACTTATTTGCATGTGCTGTTTGGGTGGTAGAGTACTAAGGGTGTGCATTGTTTTGCGACTTTGTCCAAGAAACCTGCCTAAAAAATTCATTCCAAGGTGACTGGTTAAAAGCTGCCAAGGCTCACATCAGCATTTTCCCAGCTGGAATGACCTCAGCCTGTCACTCTGGCCACTCCAGCCACACCAGCTCAAGGAAGTCCTCCCAGCAGGCAGACTTAGCCAAGGTCACCCAGGTGTTTAAGGTGGTGCTGGGGGACTAACCGGAAGTTGCTGATTTCTCCTGCGTTCTTTCCCTTGTGCCAGGAAGGATGCCTCTGGCTTTTCCAGCAGAGAGAAGCACGGGCTTTCGCAGCTCTCACGTTTGGTGGGATAAACTCTCACTAAATCCCGTTCCTTAGAGAGTTGGGTTGGGGGTTATAGCCAATCTTAGAACAGTAGAGACCCATCAGGTGTAACCTGTCCTAGTTTTCACTCAGTGATTAGATTCATGAAGCCCTTCATGGCTTCCTAAGGAGGTGGGACGAGCTGTGCAGCCCTGCTTAGGGCTTCACTTTCTGTTCCTACCTGCTTAGCAATGATGAAACCGGCCCCAAGGGGAGTCTCTGGACCTTGACACCTGCGGCTCTGCAAACGAGTTTCCTTTCCTTGGGCCTCTGTGGCGGTTCATCTTTTGTTGCAGCCTGGAATCAGGCGGGTGTGATTGTCCGCCAGCCCCGTGCAGGCCCAGGAGGCCCCTTTGAGTGGGAACGCAGCTCCAATGGTTGGTTCCAGGTTTTTCTGGCTGGGGGCTCAGCCTCTGTCAAGGCCCGGAGGTGACCTTCCCCTCCCTGTGGGGCAAGAAAGCTTGCAGAGTGAGCCGAGAAGGAATATCCGGGAACACGGTAGTCACCTTAAGCCGGTGACTCACCAGGTACCAGGAGTCTGTGGGAGCTGGTTTATGGGCTGCCCCATAAACTGAGAACACTGCTGAGAACACTGCTCCACGTGGTGGAAACACACCTGGTCAAA